GGAAGGTACAAGGCACAGTGTGCGTGGGTATAAAATGGGCCGATTTGTATGTACTCAACTTGGAAGAAACAAGCATCCTTCATACCACATTTTCAAGGGCCAGGAACGGGGAGAATCTGTGTGTGGCGCTCAATGGACCTGCAGCGAAATGTGGGTCAGGCGAGACACAAGAAGGAAAATCAATGGAGCAGCGGCCCAGTTCGTTCCCGGGCCTTTGTGGCCTTGTGGGCAAGACAGCCGAGCACAGGGCATTGGTTTAGCGGACAGCACCACTGTAAATTACGGGGGGTTAAGATTCAGGAACGCGTATCATTGCAAAAACTGCAACCGTCAATGCGTGCTCGACAGTCGTGAGCAAGAACTTGCAGTTTGTGACCTCGAAACGTGAGAACGAGCGTCCTCGTAATCCAGCATCAAAGTGCTCGCTGTGTGACGCCGATGGCTTGTGCCTTCTCGTATTTCGACTCGCATTAAGATTTGCGCTTCTCACGTCTCCAAACTCAATTTCAATCTCCAGCCTCAATGTTGCATCAGGGCCATCTCAATGGCTCTTCAGCCAGGCACAAAGTACACCGGCTGCCAAAGAACGTGCAGCGTGACATGAAGCTCTCGAGCGCGCCCACGGCCTGGCAGTCAGCGCTATGCTCAACCGGGGCCTAGCAGCCGCGAGCGGCCAGTGGATTCATGCCCTGTCTGGGACTCCCTTGACTCCCCTGTGGGGGATGGAGCCTTCGGTTGGCTGAGATGCGCTAAATGCACTACGAGTCCGGCACCTTAGCGCTGCATCCATCAACTGGAACCAGACGTTTTAGCAGATTGATTCCAAGGTTCTGTGTGCGCTCTTCCAGCACTGCTCCATCAAATCTTATCGCTTCAACACTCGCGGCAGAGTGCGCTGGAGGTGTCTGCTGTGGTCTCTCCACTCCTCTCCGGCATCATCGCCAGACCTCTATCCTTTCAAGGTTTATTCCCCCCCTTTCTGACGCTCGTTGTTTGCTTGCCGCAGAGCTCGCAGGTTCATACCAAAGTCATCAGCCCAGACGGCGGGCCCACCTGGAGCAAACAGCGTTCCGGGTGCCGCACTCGTCGAGTTTTCTCTCTCTTCTCTCTCGCCTGGGGCAGCTCATTCGCTCTTGTTGAGCGGTTCGAGGCGCGCGAATAGTCCTGCTGGAGTTTCCATTCGCCATCGCCGAATCGCCTTTGCCATCACGACTATCGCTACCGGTCGACACTGCTCTGGATGATGTGGAGGATAGGATCGCGACAATAGCCCAGTAACGCTTCTTGGGGGGCCATTCATTCGCTCAGCCATTTCGCGCACAATACAGCAATAGCCAGTTGCTCGCAAAACATTCTCACCACCCTGTTTCAAACGACGATACACTCTCTCTTCTCTCTTCACGCCATTCCATCGTCCTTTACTCGTTTCGACGCCCAAGGAAAGGAGAAAAACAAAGAAAACAAAGTCTTGATCTTCGTCCCGCCAACCGTCTCTCGCCGCTCCTGAGACTTTCTTCTCCCTCGCCCCGCGTCGCCCAGCCGACGGTTTTTATTGCTGGGCCTTTTCTGTTCAACCATCACCATGCTCCGACCGGCGACACCCTTGACCGTGCTGCTTGGGGTTGCCTTTGCTTTGCTGCTCATCTCCGTCTTGTCAGCTCCCGTCATCTCGGCCATTCCCCTCGGCACTTTTCAAGATGTCCAGTTTGGCGTCTTTGGCTTTTGCCGGCCCTCGGGCTGCAGCAGCGTTGGCATTGGCTATGACATTGGTGAGAATGCCCGTCATCGTTACTTGGCCCCCCTACTTGTGCCCATGCTTCGCCGTAGCCCCCTGAACATCAACCCCTCTTGAACGGCTGGGTTACAACCTACCATAACAATGGCAGACAGGCAGCTAACTATCAATGTGCGTATAGCGAGCGTCATCGCCGACACAAAGAGTTCGTCGTTCGATCTGCCCAGTGGTGTCCGCCATACGCTCACTTCTATCCTGATTCTTCACCCCGTGGCCGCCTTTCTCACCCTGGTCATGCTTCTCATGGCCGTTGCTGCCCACTTCCGCGCCGCTTCGCACTCGTCGAGGTATCTGCTCTTCTTCCTTATCTTCAACCTCATCACGCTGCTCGTGTGTGTTGCTGCTTTCGTCATCGACGTCCTACTCTTCATCCCTCACATGGCGTGGGGCACTTACATTGTCCTCGCTGCCACCGTTCTGGTTTTCCTCAGCCTTCTAATCTCTTGCGCCATGCGACGCACTCTGGTGAGCAGAAAAGACCGAAAGAGGAGGATTGCGGAGAATGCCGAGATGAGTGGAGAAAACTACTACAATCGAGAAAATCAGGCGCCGAAAGCCAGTTTTACCATGACAGCCCAGCCTGCGGTGCCTGTCGTCAGTGGTGGGAGCGGCACCGAAGCCAGCCTGCCTGCGTTCGCTACGTACGAGACCCCGAGAGACGACCAAGTAAGCGACGAGCGCATTCCCCTGACGCAGCGAACCACGTCCGAAAGATCACCCCAGGGAAGGCAGCTCGCGCCCGCCGATATGGCAGCCGTTGCAGGCAGCGAGATTGGCAGCGCTTACAGCGGGCCGCAGAGGTCCGCATCTCAGGACTCATATGGCAACTACGGCAATGTGCCACCCAATAACTACGGACCAGCTGGCCAGCCGTACGATGGTCGCATGAATCGAGTTCCCGTCAGGAGAGAGACGGACCCCGTAAATGGCTACGGCGCCGGCGGTCGTGGCGGTTATGGACCCCCCACAAGAGGACGGGGCGGCTATGGCCCTCCCGGCCGGGGTGGATACGGCCCGCGAGGTGGACGAGGAGGATACGGACCGCCACCTCGCGCGGGCTACGGGGGCCCCTATTATCACATGCCCAGGGGCGGAGGACGTGGTCCTTCGCCGATGAACCAACCTAATGATGGCGTGGCCGGCCAATACAACAGAATGCCGTCGCCATCGCAGCAAGGCTATGCTGGAGCGCCACAGCAGCCGCTACAGTCAGATGTCCCCATGAACCCGAACTCGTCCGGCGGCACCGCTAGCAACACATATGTGCCTTACCGCCCAAATATCGATCTACCCAGGGCCGAGTCCCCCCCACCGCTGCCGGAACCTACCGAATCCGCGGTCTCATCCGTAGCGCACGCCGTTGAGATGGACGCAACGCCGGCTGCCGGCGCAAGCGGTAACAATGGCCAGTTCGGCAACCTGAGAGATAGCGACACAGACGTTGCAGGAATGGTTCATCTCCAGCAGGGCCAGCAGCCCTTAGCCACGCAGAGAGACACGTTTGCCAGCGACGGGAGCAGGTACTCTCAAGACGAGTATGTATTCCCCTTTGTTGCAGCCCCTACTACCCAAATCGTCCATTAGCTAACCAACTCGGAAGACCATCTAGACAATATGCCCCATCACGCGCCCAGTGGAACCAAGAGACTGGGAGAAGCTCACCTCGGGTACCCGTAGTAAACTCCCCCCGCGGACCTACCCCGACTATGTCTGGCACGACTGCGCCAGTGGTCGATGCGAAGGGCAAGGGCGACTACTACGAAGACGTCGATCCTCGTTTTGACCAGACAGTATATACGCCCCCGCGTCGCCAGACTCCTCCACCGCCGCTGCAGCTCAACGCGGTCGACTACGAAGATATTCGAGGGCCTGCTAGCGGCACCCGCAGTCCCGCCGAGTCGGAACACTCCAACTTTACCTCCATCTCGCAACGTGGAATCAACCCACAATGGAGCCCGCAACCCCCAATGCCCCAACGTCGACCAGTGCAGCAGCGCCACGACATGATTTTGGACAATCCCGACTTCAAGCTCCCGGGAGGTCGAGCGACAGCGGCGGGGAAGCACAGAGGACCAGGAATGATGCCTTAGAGCGCGTATCCGAACTGTTCCGTCTAGCGTGACATTGGGTGTTGCCTATCAATGGCTTAGTTTTCATTTTCTTTTCCACCAACTACTTCTTCTGTTCTTCCCTCTGCCTACTCTGCATTTTACATCTTCTTTCTTCTCACATGGTTATGATCACCCAAGGAGGGTGATGCTACTCTTTGATTACAGATTGATATCTAATTTCCATCCTCTCATTTTCGACCTTACGACGGCGTGTTTGGCCTAGATCTAACTTCATCCGTCACGATTCTCCTGCCCCCCTGGTGGATGCACACCAAGTCCGGCACACCTTCTTTTTCATCCTTGTATCGATTTCATATAGGTACTGTATATTGCGATGGCCTACCCCTTCATGTAACTGGCCGGAGTTCTTTTTCCTTTTCACGGAATGGCGACAGACTGCCCATTCGAATGGGTGTGGAGAAAGGGTGGCCTCGACTCTGAGAATAGTGAATTGGCCATCTTTGACGAGGGCTTTTTGTCTTTTCTTTTCTTTCTTTTCATACATGACAGCTCGGAAAATCATACCCAGGGAGGTTTATTCGGAATGAGATAAAGGCATCAGGACATCCGACGCTTGTGTTTCTCTATTGGCATTGGACATGTTAGGTGTACGCACGGCTATTAGGATACCTTGGTAGTGAGCAGACGAATACGATGCTTGGCTACCTACGAAGTCATGGTCATTGCCCCAACGGCCCAACAAAGGATATCCCATCTTGCTCTAGCACGAGAAGGCTGTTGACTGGGTTTGATGAGAAGGCATGCGGCGCTTTAGAGTTCCGCCCTAGATCTTCATCCACGCCTGATTCACTGACGATGCTTTGGGGTGGAGTTGCGGGCTACCCATTATATAACCAGCTGGAGGTGTGCAGAGTTCAGAAAGTTTGAGGCTGTTCTCTGTTCAAGTCCGTTCACTTTGCACCTGGCTGGCAGTCCTGCTGCCAGCTCACCGGCTGCCTCGCACTGCGTTCACTACAAAAGGCGCGTGGGCCCCCTCTTCTCCTCCTCTTCACATTTCCTTCACCTCGCTTCTCGTCTTCCTTTTCTCTCACTTTCCTCCACCGCTTTGCGAACTTTGGTTCTCCCACTCTCTCTCCCTCGTCTTTCTGTCCTTCTTGGAAACTCGCACACGTCCCGATATTACCTCGTTGTGTCGGCCATCACTCTCTTGGAAAATCAGAGGTAAGTCAGCCAGAGTCCGTCTGCTGCTGCTCATTCCTTGTCCGCGTTCTGCTCGTTATCGATCGCGCCCCCCAACCATCGTGCGCGGAAGGAGGCCCCCAGAAAGTGGCGCCTTGGGACTTTCCCTTTCTCAATTCACCCAGCTTCTCGCCTGTCTTCTCTCCTCCTACGGTACTTTAACTTCCACCCTCTCGCTTAATTTTCTGCCTCTTCATTTTCTGCTCTTCAATACTCCTCCCCCCTCCTCTCCCTCTCCTTCAGATCGTCTCCTCTCTTTTACCTTCTATGCAGGCTTGCTGGGACTTTGAGGATTTCTTGCATCATTTCCTCGCTGGGTCTTTCCCGCCTCGCAGTTATCTTTCACTTGAGTACCTTATCGGCACGGGAAAGGAAGAGATCTTGGAGACGAGGCAGGCTTTTGGTATCTCCATTGCCTGTTTGATTCCATCAGTATAGTGGCCGCGATTTGGACTTTGCTGTCCTCTTTGGCTTTGAATCGTAAATGCTACCCTCTCTCCCTATGCCTGTTGAGCGCTCTGATCCTCAGAGAGTGCTTCTACAAAGCCCATACCTTTGTCCTGGTCTCTCCCGCTTGACTCGCTTCGCAGCTAACATGGACCTTCCTTTAGTTTTCGTATACTGTCGCACTTTACCTCATTTCATTTCTTCGCCAGGTAGTTGTGGTTCAGCTGCCACACAGGATATGGAGCCATCTGGACCGGCAACGGACGAGGTACCATCCTCACCACTCCCTCCATCCCCAACTTCTGCGGTTACGACCCCAGTCTCGTCTCAACCAACCTATACAACCGCAGGGACCATCTACAACCCCAGCTCGTCGCAGCGGCTCCAGCCTCCCGCTCGCCGTGGCCGTCTGCTCAAGCTGAATCCTGAGAGCGCTTGCTTTGTCTTTGATCCTTCGAGATTTGGTTCTCCTAGATCAATCCTGTCCCAACCCGACACAAGCGTCAAGACGCCAGCCATTGCAACCGTTAAGCAGTATAGCCCTCTGCAGCAGAACTATGATCGTGCAGTGAGCCCTGCTGCCAGCCCAGATCGCGAAAGCGCGATGTCGCCCCAACCCTTTGCGCTGCACAACCCGCCTCTTCGAGCCAGAGTTGACTCCCTACCACTTTCTCGCCTCGACAAGGGCCACGGATCCAAGGCCACAGCCGACTCTAGCGACGATGATGGCGATAGCATCTCTGTAGGTGCTCTGAAGAACATGACGGTCAAGTCCCTCCAAAACCTGGCGTCGTACCCGAACCCGAACCAGAAGAGCGCTCAGAAGGCGCTGCTTCGGGGGACAAGACCAAAGGCCGGCAACACTCTCGGAAGCGGCTTGTCTGGACTGGCCCAGCCATTCGCATACCGCAACATCAGTCCCGGGGGAGTGAGGCTCTCCTCGAGTGATGAGCCTGCGATTGGATTGCGCCCTACTCTGTCGGACCCAAGCGCACTTCACCATAACTACATGGACCGTCGACGGAGATCTAGAATGATGACTTCCGACGCCGGACCGAGCGGCACTTATGCCAGTCTCTTCGAATCTCGGCGTTCGACACCCTCCACGAATGACGACATGCCAGACTCCCATCCTACGGCGTCGATGCGTCTCGCCACAGGTCCGGGTGCGCCCAAGCCCTTGACGGCGGGGCCTCCCGGTCAACGTCAGTATCGTCCTTCCACATTTGAGTCCACATTCAAGGCGCTCAAGAGCCGAGCGACAGCTCACCAGGCGTCCGTCACTAATGCTGAGGATGACTCGGATGCCGCTCCATTCACTCCCAGGGCTTTCAGCACCGTGGCATCGGCCGGGCATTACCAATACTCCTCTGCAGAGGACGAAGAGTACCAGTCTGCCGCCGAGTCAATCTTCAACGAAGTCAAAGCCAGAACCAGGCCCATGGTCATTGAGAAGCTACTTGGTGGAGATATAGAGACTCCAGCAATTCCTCCCGACAGTCTATTGTACCTGACTATCCACTCTGAGCCGGAATGGCCACGCGAGCGCGAGCCTACCCATGATGTCCGCGAGTATACCCACCCGGCCTATGATACGCGGGGAGCCAGCATCGGCAACTGCAACACTCCGGAACGAATCTTTCTCAACTTAGTCGGCTTGGGCCACGGTGCCCCATCGATCATGCCGACAAATTGGCAGTCAGAGATGAACAATGGAAATTCTTCCCACTGGGATGAGCCCACTGGCCCAATGTTTCCACAGCAAACGGGACCGAAAATCTTGACCCAACAAGAGATTGCGGAACGGAGCAGGAAACTCCATGACAGTTGGTACTCTGGCTTAGGCCAAGGCCTGGGCGTGTCGACAGTGTTCCCCAAGCCCGTTGACAGGAGTGTCAAGAGACCAGACAGAAGAAGCATTTACGGCGCAGTTGGCGACGGGCGTCCTACCGGGGTAAAGCAGAGTAGCTCGGCTGCTCGAGGTGACAGCGGAGAGTTGAAAAGCAGCAACTCGATGCAGTCCATCAACAGTGACGTTGCGGGCCTTGCGCTTCTGGGCGAAGTCTTGAGCCGCGCCACTTAGTTGCTCAGCGAAAGGGACCCTATGGGAGATACTTGTCAGGGAGATAGCCGAATAGGCGGATCAGTTACAGTTAGTTATGGTTATGGTTAAGATGCTCTTTTGTTTCCTAGGGGTTGAATGGCCCGTCTAATGTTTTGCCAGGAGGGTTGGATGCACGGGCAGAAGGAAGAAGACTGGAGTACCGGTTCGAGAGATGGGAAAGGCGGTCTCTCAGTTGAGCCCATATCCTGGAATCCTAGAATAGTAGTTTTGCAAGTCGAGTACCGATAATATATCCTAGAGCAGGTGTTTTTTTTTATTCCCGTTACTGTTGATTTGATGTGCCTGTGGTTGGAATTGTTGTATGCCTGGGGCATGTTCTTACTTGGAGTTGCCAAAGAGATGATGCGAGACAACCAGACAGTCGCGTACCCACAACCGTTCACACTTAAACCGGGTGTAACAGGGGCCTTATCATCACCATCATTACTCATCAGGCCGTTGGAGACATTGGGCGAGTGGCCCGAACTGGACTGTACCTAGCTAGGGTTCAATGAGAAAGGGGCCAATCGGGGTATTCGAGGGAGGTTGATTCCAAAGGATGCGGCCGGCGGGAGAACGAACCATGCGAAGAGGACGGGGCCGGAGGGTGGATAATACCACAAAGAGAATATGGGATACACGACTCCGGGCATTTACCTCATTCTGAACGAAGTGAAAAGGCGTGCGACCAGGAGGTAGAGCTACTATACAATAGCATTACTGGATTCGCGAGCGGTTACTTTCGAATGGTGATGCGCGCTGTAGAGATTAAGAGATGGCTTCCCGCTTTGTGGCGGCTCTTGGGCCCGATTCGATATAGCAGATATTAGGTGATATAAGGTAGTGGTAGCTGGGGGCAACCTTTGCTGTTCATTATCGTGGAGGCTCTTTCTTACTTTCTCTCTCCTTTCTCCTTTCTTTCTTTCTTTCTTTCTTTCCATCTGTCGGTCTTTTTCCTTTCCGTTCTTGTCTTGTTCAAGGATCGGGCGGCCGAAGTAAAGGCATCATGACGGCCGCGCATGGCGTCATTGCGATTCTGGAGTCGACGTTTAATAGCTTGGATCTGGATAACATTTTGGCCTTGTATGCGGACGACGCCAAGTTGACAGCCCACTGTGAGTCTTTCTGCCTCTCGCTCTCCCGGTGAGATGTCTCTCTCTATATCGCTGTGGAAGGGGTATCTGTTGCGCTGGGGAACGGCCAATCGTGGGGGAGGGGATGAAATTTTGGCGAGTGGCGGCTGAGTTGAGCTGACTTGTGTCTGTTGCGTGCTTGAACAAAAAGTGTTTGGACTGGTCAACGTCGACAAGACGCAGATCCGGGCCTTTTATGCGGACCTGTTCGACTCCAACGACGGCGTCGAGTTCGTGACGCGGTGCATCAGCGGGACGCCGGACCTGGTCGTGTGGGAGCTCGACGTGCGGTGTCGCAGGGCGAGGCGGGCGTCGGCGGCGCTGGGGATCGCGAGGGGGGAGGCCGTGGTGTTGAGGGGTGTTTCGCTGCTGAGCTGGAGGGAGGGGCTGATTGCGGAGCAGAAGGATTATTTTTATGTCCTGAGGGCGAGGTGAAGGAGAGGGAAGACGGAAGCAGGCAGGTTCAAAAGATACCAAGTCTATGGATATCGCTGCAGTAGGAAGCTGCTTGAAGCTAGGCGAGGGCCATGAACTGGGGATCCAGAGGCGGTGCGAGCGCATATCTTCAGAGCGATGGACTTCAGAACGATGGACTTCAGAACGATGGTACTCCAGCCATATCGAACACCTCGGGAGCACAAAGAGCGCCGCAGCATGGAAACTTCAGCACTCGACTTTGACGGTTATAGGTGGTGCATCAGCCTTACAGCTCAGGGCTGTTAGCAGAACGGACATGCAGTCTCAACTTCAGCTTTCGACCCCCCTCAAACAACGAGAAGTCGGCCGGGCTCATTGTTGTGACAGCGCCTTGCTCAAACAGCGCACCTATGGACACAAACGACTTGGAACGTTTGTCGATTTTGGCTCCCCACTAAGGCATGCACGGCAGAGCCCAATACAGGCAGAAATGGATACCTAGATAGACTTCAACTCTTGGAGCAGCATACATCTTCGGACTGTACGAGGTTGGCGCTCGTCGAACTAGGAAGTATGCCTTGAGTAGTCTCCGAAGCAGAGCATCGTTATCCGTCACTATCGTCCGTTGAGATGGGCTCACCATGTCAGTCTGAGTGTGTCTACTAGCTCAGCTGGTGTGGTAGACAGCGTCACATGGGGTCTATCACGGCCACGCGTGCTGGTATGATCTTTTAGAGTGAATCGCGATTGATCGCGTCTAATGGCTTGCTGATTCGTCCCTCCCAAACTTGCAGCTACCTTATCACGACCTGTTTCATCCATGACCTTCCAATCGTACTGCACACACAGACTCGCACGCAGCTATGACGTCAAGGACGAAGGCTGAGCACAAAGTAGAAGATACTGACAGAGCTCTCAAAGACCAGAGAATTACAGAAGCGACTGCAGTATGAGATGCTCTGAATTGTTTTCAGTCTTCTTGAGCTTGTATACCTGACATGGAACCTTAAACAGGGACGATACCTTACTTTGACTCTTCTGTTCTTGTCCGGTCTCTTTCGTCGATCTTTGGCCAGCCGAGGACCCCAAAACGGACTAGGGCGGAATCGCTGCGAAAATTGACGTCGGTTTGTTGTGCGCCGAAAAATTGCTCGTGAAAGACCAGCCTGTTGTCTGCTAGCAGCTCATCACTTCATCCCAGCCGTGAAACTAACAAGCAAGAACGCGCGACTAGCACAGCCAAGGACACGACTCTCTGGCTCAGCCCCCAATTTCTAGCGGACGGCTTCTCTTGTCCTCTTGCATTGCTTCTCTGTCCCTTCGCAGCGTCGGCTTCGTCAATTCTCTCTTACGGCATACCAAAGCGAAACTGCCATTCTCTTTGCAACGCCATCCGAATCCGTCTGATCTACCTCGATGCCGTGTTGATCCCTGTCTACCAACCGACCGATTCGAGCTTCAACGAACGACACGCCGTGTCGAGAGCTGCGACAGCACCCAACTTTGAGATCTAGAGGACGAGCAATAGGCAGATAGCCAAAGCAACAGCAGAAGCACGGCAAGATGGTCTACGTGCGACAGCGCAACCTCCCGGCCTTGAAAGAGTACAAGTACTCTGCCGTGGACCGGTCTCTTACCTCCAAATATGTCTTGAAGCCCTTCTACAACAACTTCGTCATCAAGTGCTTCCCGATGAACATGGCGCCGAACCTCATCACCTTGACCGGTTTCAGTTTCGTCGTCCTCAACTTCCTGACGATGCTGTGGTACAACCCGACGCTGGACCAGGATTGCCCGAGCTGGGTGTATTACAGCTGGGCCATTGGCTTGCTGCTCTACCAGACATTTGACGCCGTAGATGGCGCGCAAGCGTGAGTTATCTTCCACCCCTCAAGAGTCGGGTGGTGATCAAGAACTGACGTAGCTATACAGGCGACGAACCAAGCAATCCGGACCCCTCGGCGAGCTCTTTGACCACGGTGTCGACGCCCTCAACACGACTCTCGAGGTTCTCATCTTTGCCGCGTCCCAGAACATGGGCCAAACCTGGAAGACGGTGGCCACTCTCTTTGCCTGTAGGTTTTCATGCTTCTTTCAGTTTCCTTCCAGTGCTGCCCCTCTTCCCCCTCTGCCCCTCCATCCGGCCCACTCGGCCCTGCATGCGAGTTGAAGATACACCACGAGGAACACATGGCTCAACGAGCAATGCTAATCAATTATCTCCAGCTCTCCTTACCTTTTACGTCCAGACCTGGGACGAGTACCACACCAAGACTCTTACCCTTGGCATCGTCAATGGACCCGTTGAGGGCGTGCTGATTGTTGCCGCCGTCTTTGCCCTGACCGGCTATCTGGGCGGCGCGCACATCTGGCAGCAGAGCGCCCTCCGCGCCCTTGGCGTTCCTGCAACTCTGGGCATCCCCGACTTCATCTACGATCTCACTTTTACGGAATGGTACATGGTTCAGGGCACAATCGTCCTCGTCTTCAACACCGTCGAGTCGTCCATCAACGTCATCCGCGCCCGACGTGCTCGCGGAGACCGATCTAGGGGCGCACTCCTTGGCCTTGTGCCTTTCTTCTCCGTCTGGGCGCTCATCGTCACGTACCTGTACCTGCAGCCCAACATCCTGCACCACCACCTGATTCCCTTTGCCCTCTTCGCTGGCCTCGTCAATGCCTACAGCGTCGGGCAAATGATTACTGCGCACCTGACCAAGATGCCCTTCCCCTACTGGAACGTCCTCGGCTTGCTCATTGGCTTTGGCGTGGCTGATTCCATTGGCCCAGTACTGTTGGCCAACTATGGCGTCGGCTGGCCCAGCTCCCTCGGCGATGGTGTGTACCAGACGGCCTTCGTGTTCCTCATGCTTGGCACGGCTCTCGGTGTGTACGGAAGCTTTGTCGTGGATGTCATTGTTACCATTTGCGACTATCTCGACATCTGGTGCCTTACAATCAAGCACCCTCACGACGAGGCAGCTGTGGCCAAGCCCAATGGCATCAAGAGCCACTAAGGGAAGTTCGATATCTCGTGTACAAGACAAACAACAGCTCCAAAAGCTCCGAAAAGAGGCGGGTGCGGTGACGATGAAGAGAAAACAGGGGGTATGAAAGACTTAAGAGACGAAGGCAAGATGACAAAAAACGGGATTTGATAACGTGTTATGACGGATGATGCATTTCTTATACGGGCCAAGGGGGCTTACATACGACGACAGATGGGGTACTGCTGATATAGATCGCTGGTGGATATATGTGTTTGCGCAACGCTTAGACGTACTTGGTGTGAGTAATGGCTTGAGCTTGCCGAGAAGATGGGCGTTTATGGATATGTTTCTTCTTACTTTTGGTCTCTTCTTCTGTTTGTTCACGTTGAGCCGAGTCTGGACTTGCTGGTTTCCTTTCCGATCGAGCCACAGGCACAGTCAACTGGGCAGAAAATGGCGAGAACGGTGACGCGAAGTAGGGCGTGTAATGACCAAGGGTCGGTGGAAGATTTCTAGGCGATTAATAAACGTTCTTCTCAACTCCGGTACTGTCTAGCTTTCCATAAAAGAATCCGAGCCTGGTACAAAAATGACAAAAAAGAAAAAAAATATTGAGTCTCCGATACTGGGAATCGAACCCAGGGCTGCTCGGCACTCGAAGGATGAGAGCGAGCGATGTTAGCCACTACACCATATCGGATTTTATTTGATGCTAAGTGTTGGAGCAATGATGTGCCAAGAAGCATCATCACGGCGCAACTGTTCCTTTCTTCGGATCCCCCTGTTCAAGTTGAAAGGGCTGAGCAAGCTTGAGTTCTTATGTCCAAACTCGACGTGGCCTGTAACTGCTGCGTGCGGTGAACCATGACATGGATTCCATTCCTTTCGGAGCAGCCCGTTGGTCATGCAGAACATCCATTGGGTAGAGACTAGTAGGAGAAGAAGAGACTAGTAGTAGTAGTAGAAGACGAGGGCTTGTCGAGACTATCACAAGCAACGGATGGAGAGACAACCGAGACCACATTACGCCTGACTTTGGTCTGCAAAAGTGCTACAACTATGGAGTGTACCTTACCTATCAGACATGATGTCGATCTCAAAATTGCCGACGTCTTCTGCCACTGGGCTAATACGGTGACAGGTCTACGGATCTAAATCCGACCCCATTCATGCACATGCTGCTCGGCAGGCAAATCGGCTTGCCGTAGGGCTTCAATAGTACCCGTCTTACATCGAAGATTCCATACCCCCCTTACAGGCATCCTTGAACCAAGTCTGACAGACCTTTGCCGCCATCCGAAGATAGTTCTATCGTTCGAATTGACTCGTTCATCAACCCAAGGACCAACAGAGAGTCACAACGGCAACCTCTTCTCCAGAAAGCCTTATTCAGCCCTACGGCGTCCGGAGCCCGGAACGATCGATCTTTGAGTGCGAGTCACGACTGTACAGGGCAACTTTATCATCAGGATGCACTTATCTGTCGCATATTGTATACGGTCTAGGATATTATTGTCTCAGTTTGTTGCCCTCAGCAATAGTTAACGTCAAAGGTTCTTTCATGGTCAGATTGGCGTGACCATCGTCTCGTGGCTGCTGCGCCTAGTGAGGGGGGAATAAGCAGCGCTGCATCGGCTGTGAGCGTTGATTTGATGAAAATAGTATTCCCGGCACGCAGCTACGGAATGCACGAAGCACACCCTGCGCAAGGGGAAGAACCTTGAAGAGACGCACGCGTACGGAGATTTGGAATTCCGTCAAGATCTTGAACCCGCCGGCTTTCAGAAGGACTCAAAAGTCGGTGTTCAAAAGGGTTGCCGGGGGACTTCGAGTCCCTTTGGCGCCGTTTCCTACCTTTCTAGTGTTTCTTCCGCGTATCTTCTGCCGCTACGGAGTATGGCTTATGGATATATAGTCGCCCTGAAAGACTGAGGAGGCGATGCATGTCACATGGAATACGTTTGTCGTCCCGCATCTGTCGTGGAGACGAAGAAGAGCGGAACCATGTGCCTCGAAGGATCAAGCCAGTCAGGCAGAGCGGACTGGGGCCGCCCGAAGCAGTGCGCCTGGGAACCAACTGCCGGGCTGTGAAGTCCGCCGTGCTGGACTGCAGAATGCTACACAAGGACGAGACCCAAAGGCCTGGGCTGGGCCCCCTTGCTCCACGTCAAAGCTCGAGACCAGCTCACGCCTTGCAGCCACTAAAAAAGAGAGCCGCTCGTCGGCTTATTAGCGGGAATTGGAGGGCTGTGCCGGGGGTGAGAGGACCAGGAGGGCGGACATTTGGAGTCAACGGGAGTGTAAGAGCCCGACAGGAGGTTGCCTGTCTCGGGATTTTGAGAGAAGAGACGGGAAAAAGAGACAGAGACAGACCAGTTGGAAGAGAGACTTGGAGAAGAGAAACTGGAACTTCGAGTTGGCAACGCGTAATTGTCATGGCGGTGGAAAGGAAGCACTTCAGCTCTGCGTGTGGCGCCACAGGCATAATCGGGCGTTGCCAAATCCACAGCCTCGAGAACCGGCTTCAACCGATTTGTACTAGCATTCCTTCGTCGCTCTTCGTGCCTCCAACTAACACGGAGCAAAGCGAAGCTTGTGGCTGCTACCCGCGCGGTAATCCCTAAGCAACACAGTTTGATTCCCACGCATGCCAGCATCTTTCGTCGCATGGCAGCCCCCCCCATCCCCCCTCCCCCTTCAGGTTCAGGTCTCGAGATGGGCTATCCGGGGCTCAGACTGGGGACCGCTATCATTCGCTCGTCTTTTCTCTCGTGCCTTGTCGGGCATCGTGGATCATTTCGGGGGTTTCTTCCATCTCTCTTCTTTTTTCCAACTTGACCTCGGTTCTCCCTTCTTCTGTATCGGAATTACGATTCCTTCGTACGACGCTTGACCAACACACATTATTCGTTGCTTTGGTGTTCGTTATTAATGCCCTCTTATTAGTTATTCTCAATCAAAGCAGAGGACATTATTACTTTTGGCTTTTGCGGACATCGCGAGCACCGTAGGACCCCTCCAAAAGGAAGAGAGAAAGAAAAAATCAACCAGAGACGGCCCTCCGTTTTCTTCGGCATTCCAGAATCTTTGGGGAGCATTACCACCTATTATACGATTTCTTACCACTGCCACAACTTACTATTTGATTCCCGTACCCCGTACCTGCGCATACATATACGGGTTGCAGTGCCCGAGTACTTCCTAATCGAATTCCACATCTGATCCCCTCCCCCCCGTTCTCCCCTACCGGGTACCTAAGTGGCCATAGTTCCCCGTAACACCATCGTGTCGACGCTGCAGAAAAGTTTGGAACAACACCAACAGCTGCTCAACGAGAAAGCCGCCGCCATGGACTTCGCAGCCCAATATACCTTCAGCTCTCACCAGGCCTTCCCAGGGGCTTTTATGCCTTTGACGCCTTCACACTCCCAGTCGGCCGGTTCGGACGATTTCAGCAATACCTCCCCGCCTGTCAGTTTGTGGTTCCCCCACTCCCCCCGAAGCGCAGCTTCTTGTGCCTTAGCGCTCCCTTACTTGAGCATTACGAGAGAGAGGACTAATCACACAGAGTCGAGCCTTTGGCTTCGCTCTGGGTGCTTTGAGGCTCTCGCTATGGACAAGGACACGGACACGGACTTTTGAGGTTGACTGATGCTGACTCAATCACCTCGGTGGGTGGCTCCCGTCTTGTAGGATCACTTTGCCGACCCCTTCCATGCATTCGATTACACCCAGGCGGCCTTTGGAGGCCATCATCACCCTCAGCCCTTCGGCCAGCACCAAGACCAGCTCCAGCACCACCAGCAGCTCCAGGAGCAGCATTTGCCGCACTCGCCATCCACAAATGGCAGCGTCAATGGCAGCGTCAACGGCAGCAGTAGCATCATGCGAGGCGAAGGCGGATCCGGATCAGGGTCCAAGGCTGAGGGCACTGGCGAGGAGATCCGTGGGAGCGACGACGACGACAACATGACGCCGGCCCAGTCTCGAAGGAAGGCCCAGAACCGTGCTGCGTAAGTCTTCTATCTCTCTCGCCCTCTCACTCTTTCTCTCTCCCCTATTCGCTATTGGCCTTACGTCCCGTGGTTCCCTTTTGGTGCACTGGCATATCTGGATAGTTTTGCATCGAAACTACGGGGTACCTGTAGATCGATCTGACTTCTGGATGCCTCCCACATTTGGTGGTTGGGTCAGATAAGACCAGGAGGGATTTGGTCATCATTGTCAAGGAACATCTCAAGGAACCAGACGAACCCAGCAACGGAGCCAAAAGAACCATGACAGAAGAAGCAACTTCTCTCCTGCCAGTCCTAGCATTGACTGACCGCTCTTACCTACAGGCAACGCGCATTCCGCGAACGCAAAGAAAAGCACGTCAAAGACCTCGAGTCCAAGCTCGCCAGCCTCGAAGCTGCCCAGAAAGAAGCCGCCAGCGAAAATGAGCGCCTCCGACGAGACCTGCAGAGAATGTCGACCGAAAACGAGATCCTCCGGGCCACCTCCGCCGCCAACCAGAACCAGAGCGGCTCGCACTCCCCCGAGCCCATCACGACCGGCCCCATGACTTACACGCCCACCGACTTCTACACAAACGTGCTCCAGGGCCACAACAACAGGGGGCCCCCGCATCGCATCGTCACCTCTGACGACGGCCACAGGCTGTTCGCCGCCGGTGCTGCTTGGGATTATCTCCTGGAGCACTCGTTGTATAAGCGTGGGCTGGTGGATGTCAGCAAGGTGGCCGAGTACCTGAGGCAAGTGGCCAAGTGTGATGGGCAGGGACCTGTCTTCTCCGAACGAGACATCAACTATGCCATTGAGCAGAGCGTTGCCAGTGGCTCGGATGATCTCTTGTAGGGCATGGCAGAAAGATGGAAAAAACGAAGAGACGAGAAGACGGAAGCATGGGGAGATAAAGAGACGGAGAGACGGAGAGACGAGGGCAAGAGAGCGTCAAGATGGGGAGGGGAGAGCCAGGAGTCTGATTTTTTTGTCCTCCGCCTTTGGGCGAGAGAGAGCGAGAGCGAGTTGTGTCATGACTTTCTAAATGTTGCATTACGACTGGGCGTATATCTGCGGGGTTACCTTTGGGCCTCGAAGCCCCTATTCTGATTCAAATATGTTTCTCTCATCTCTTTGTCTCTCTTCTCATTCATGTGGTTCAGCCACGCCGGCGACTCGGGGCCGTCTTCCCGAGACTTTTGGCATCGGACGATGTGCTCCGATCCTATCACGATACACACGCCCGCAGTGTTGCTACTCCGCACATCTGAGAGGAAAGAATAGCATTCTTGCATGATGCCACGGAACCTGTCATGTAGGGAGCAGCCAATGCAGCATGTACTGCTACCATGTCATGCCGGGGACTTTTGGAGCTTTCTCATACGACTACGAGTACTGCTATTGGTACTTGGCCAGCCATCGCGTTCATGGGTCTCCATCCTCATACGAGACGAGAGAAGAGCACATTGGGACATGGAAGATCCCTCGCCGCCGGTCTCCCCCCTCTGCCTTGGAAAACCATGCCTCTCAGCAGCGGTGGCCTGCTGTTTCAGCCGCAAAATGAGAAGAAAAAGAAAAGAAAAAGCAAACAGGGACGACAGCACAAACATCTCAGCCGCACCTAAGCCCACTTTTCTCGAAGCCCCTTCAGGGAGGCTAAAGTTGGGATCACGCTCATGGCGTTCCCAGATGACTGTGTAGTACAGGCCTGCTTCGTGCCACGTCTAGATATCTTGGACGGCTGATCACGGACTCGACGCAGCTGAACACAGCAACTTAGGCACTATTACTACTACCATTGGGAGAGACGAGAGACACCTCTGAGGTCTTGCGAGCAACGGCACAAACAGAATCGCGTTGAAGTCGGCCGACATTGGAGGAATCGCCGATGCCTGGGGCTTCGTCCAGTTGGGTCGTAAAGTGGTCGCCGGGGGAAAGTACCGGGTTCCTGGTACTGAGATTTGTCTTGGTCTTTGTCTCGGTCTCGATCTTGGTCTTTGGCATTGCTTCTCTTACACACCCTCATGTCCTTGTATGTACGCATCTGGTTGCATTTGCTTCGTACTAAACAACATCCCTTGCTTCCAATCCTTCGAAGAGGCGCCTCCTGTTACTTCATACTACGCGGATGGCGGCTTTGATGTGACACGTAATTTTCCCTCACTACCTAGACAATGCATGGCATCAAGTTATTTGAGCATGCATTTGCATGTACCTATGCATAGTAGTCTACGCGAACATGTTTATGCGATGATCGAATGGTCTCATTTCTACCTTACATGCTCGTAACTGACCGCAATCCAGTCGTGGGCAACCAAGTCGCCAGGTCGTAGCAAGTATGGAGAATGCAAGACGGTGGTGTGGTAGCAGTGCAGTGCCGCATGCCCCCCAAGTTCGTCCATCTTGATCTGCCGCCCATCACCAGCCCTTGTCTCTCTGGGATCTGCTCTGGAAAGTTGCCGCCCTTTGTCTGCCAAGCCTGCCCTCCTCTCCCTTCAAAAGATCAGCAATCCTGGTAAATACAACTACAGTCATGGTAGTTCAGCTTCTGCACAGGCCCCAGCGAGGATGTGCGGGGGCAAGGAAAGCCACAAAGTTGTTTGCTTGCTCTGGCCGCAGCTGCTCTCGTCCAGTCGTGTGTCGTTGATACAGCCTTCTTTTGAACCTCCAATCGAGACGCGCTGTGGCATCGATCTGCCCCGCCCCGAAACCATCAGTTGACCTATCTTGAATGAGACTTGAGCAAGAAACAGGGAAAAGAAGCAAAACCGCACTCTACCAAGCAAGCCGCTAGCAGTAGCAACTTGAAGTAATATCTAGAGATATTGGTAGTAATATGAGTAGTAGTATTACTCGCAGAAGTAGCAGTAAGAGATGGGGAGAGGAGAAGGAGGAGATTCGAGAAGACAGGCGGTTGAATTGCTGGCGATGAGATGGGTATAAGAGAAGCTTCCCCTATGCCCAGCTCTCCCATCAGCTCGTCCAGAAAGAAAAGTGAACAGCACAGAACTCTTCTCTCTTTTCCGTCTGTTTCCTATAATCTTTTAACCTTCCTTTCGAGTCAATCGACAGTCTCTCCTTGATACTCTTCTTCGCTTTGTTACCCCTCTTCCTTCTTTATCATGGAATCCATCTTCGAGGACGACTTGGAAGATGACGACGATGTCATGAGAGACGATCCAGCATTCCCCCCTCTTTACTATGTCCAGACGCCTGAGAAAAATGGCGTCTACACCCGTTCTTTCGAGATCAGCGAGCACGTATTCCCTCCTTATCTGCAAACAATTCCTCACTACATGAAGCTTTTCATTGTCATGGATCCCACCGGTTTGCGATCCTCACTGCCGTCCACATTTCCTTCCATGTTTTTCTATCCTGCCTCGAAGCCTCTTCCGGCCGAGTTCCACATACCGTATCATGATCGTCCCAACGAGTTCTACGTTTCTCTTACCCACGATTCTGCTCTTTTTAATATCAGCGACTCCTCCCCTGCACCCACATCTAAGCCCACAGCTCCACATAAGGTTCTGCGGTCGACCGAGCTCCTGGAAAGCATTTTCCTCAAGCTCGACCCTGTCACGATTCTCACTTCCATTCAGCGAGTGAATAAGACCTGGAAAGGGGTCGTGGACGGATCCACGGCACTTCAGCGGAAGCTCTACTTCGCACCTGACGGCAAAGCCAAACTGGGTCTTCATCCTCAAGCTCAGTGGCTCAAAGACGATCGCGAGAACTTCCCCGCCGTCAACTCCCTCTTGGCCAGATATTTCGAAAGCTGCTTCTTTAGCTTTGGACACATCTACGGCTGGCTGCGCCGGGCGGAATCCTTCTACGAGCACAAATGGACCCGCCACCACCATAGGCTGAAGAGGATGAACTTGCCGTGGGAACACTCGGCAATCTACCAACCTATGCTCGATGAGAAGCTGGATGGCCGGGCGACTCTTCAGGCAATGCAGGAGAGGGAGAGATTTACTCGCTCTGGCGCGAGTTGGCGCAACATGCTTGTGTGCCAGCCTCCCATCTTCAGCTTTGGCGTCATGATATTCCAGCCCGATAAGGGCACCTCAGCCCTGCCACAAAGAATGGAAAAGGCCATTATCAAGGCCCACGACATGGACGTTGGCCTCTGCATGGGCCAACTCTATGACTTTGTTCAGGAGAGGGCAGGCCACCATCCTCTGTCCTCTCTCTGGTTTCGTGTCTTCTGGTTTGAGCCCCATGGCCCCTGGACCTCGGACCTTTGCCGCGACACTGCCCATGAGCTGGCTCTTGAGACAGACCTGATTATCGAAATGTTCCACAGCAGCGACTGTTCCCTTGCATATCACCCGAGGGATCCGCCGAGGCCCGAGACCTTTGACAGAATCTTCCAAAGCAAGGACTTCAAGCCTCATGACTGGGTTCCGGCTGGTGTCGCGGTAGACAACGCAAGCGAAGGGTACGAAGCGCTCTCTCCCTTGGATGGCGACCAGAACAGGATTTGGTGTGGATTTGCAGGTAAGTGATGATGGACGAAGCATAGCCCAATCCCCTTTTACTTTTCACTTCTCTTTTTGAACAGGAAGATATGCTGATACTGTCCAAGAACTATAAGCCATCCAAACCTCAAGATCTCCTTGTTGCAAGCGGGTGGGTGGTCGGGCAACAGGGGGTGGTTTGGATTGTCTTTCTTTCTCTTTGTTTGTTCATAGATTCGGCCGAGGGTCGCCCCTCGGTTCGAAAGGGCTTGGGCATCGGGTTAGAGTTGGCCATGGCCATGGCCGTATTCCTTCATCTCTTTCCTTATCTTCTCTCTTCCCTTTCAACGACAGGTTCAGAGACGTCTCTCGGCTATGGTTGGAAGCCTTAATTGGGTCTTAGAGTTCTGCTGCAGCGATGAATTGTACTATAAATAAATTGTCCGCACACACACACAGTTTTCTTCTGTTAATGGGCCTTTGCTTCTTTGTTCAGTGCTCATTGTTCCTTAAAATACCGTCGGTGCTTCGGTGACGCATACCACGTAGGATCGTACAAAATTTGTGTTCAGAAGGAGGAGATTAGGAAAGTTCATTTGTTGTGAGCGTAGGTCCCTCTAGCATAGACAATGCTGGAAGCCATCTGGTGGACAAAGCCTTGATGGAAGCATCGTGGCTTGACCTCGAGATGACTGCGTAGGCTGTTTGACACACTAGGTGATGCCCCTGAACATGCTTCTGAACATGTTCCTGTCGGTCTGAACGTAGATGACACACGGTAGAAGGGCGTATCTAAGTCTTCCCCGCGTTTATGGCTCCAATTTTACTCGACTTGATTGTAGAAAATCAGATTTGGCCAACGGCTGGCGAAGTGGCAGAAGGTCGAGACGTTGACAATTCGCCTGCAAAGAAGTGCATTTCACCAGCACAGATTTCTTCCATATCAATCCCACAGCGTTAAACTCGGTCTTTGATCATCAAATATGTATTGAGTATCTACTCGCGGAGCAATACATGTCGTATTCGAGACGAGGAGCAGCTACTTGTAGCTATTCCCATACCCTCATCACATCGATCTACACTTCAGCCATCATCTTCCAAATTCCAATGTTGCCTCCTGTGAAAATATTGCCCAATAAAGGCACAGAGAGCTGTAGCTAAGCGAGGATCATGCCCTGACAGCTTCTGGAGCCTACTGTTCAGTGGTTGTGCTGCTGTAATCAGTGGTCGTCCATCCCCTGAAACAGCGACCATTCACTTCACCACCGTCCTTTTTACCTCTCCAGCTTCTCCAGACATCAATTTATCCACAAGATCAAGGCTTCAGGGTGCTTCTGACACCTCGTATATATACTCAAAAATTTCAAATTACTTTATACCGGGCCTGTGAACGAGTGCAGGCCATTAGGCTTCACCATCCTCGACGACAGGAATAAGGGGGCGGACAGTAATTCTGCCGCACGTGATCCCTCGCCACACTGATGCACATTTCTGGTAATATTCTTCTCTTCTTCCTTCTTTTCGCTTCTCAACCTTTGCATCGACATAGCAAGCTCCGTCTTCGTCCACTGCGTCCAGCATCTTCAACGTTTCAACGAAGATGGAAGCCGACGTACCCCTGAGGGAGAGACGACGCTTGAGAATCGTTAATACGCACTGGTCTATTGTGGCACTAGTCGTACTTACTATTTTACACTTCTTTCTCCTCATGATAGTGGCGATAAGTCTTCAGCAAGTAGAGAATGCAGCTCTCTGTTAGAGGCAAGGGCCCGCACACATGAGCACCCAGGCAACAGGCTGTCCACCAAGGTAAGCAGCACTGCTGACGCTCTTCAGAGAAAATAGACTGACAAAGAACCAGCTCTTCCAATTCTCTATATCGCCCTGAGAAGACTCGCCTGCCTGCTTTCTTCAGGTGGCCATATCCGCTCCTAGTGCTCTTCTTCTGATAGTAGCCCTCTCATCTTATCGAGGGTCTCCAGTAGTCTTCGGCCTCTATGCTAGATGGCGATGGTGAGCACCGGGCTGAATCTCGACGAGATACCACGGATGCTAACCAGTGATCTAGGAATTATCCTGTGCAGTCTATAAAGCCGGCTAAAGACTTCAAGCGGAAAGACTTGATATGAAAAGACTTTGTCGTATGGGATGGCAATCTTCCGGACAGACTCCCAGTGATGTCGTCCTACCGTTGCAAAGTTGAGGTTGGTACTCCCTCATTCCTGGAACCCTCTCCTCTACTGACAAGCTAAAGTTCTCTTTAGTAGTTATGAAGTAAATACAGTGACAATATGGTTCAGTTCTTTTTGCCTGCAACCGACTTGTTATTAAGGTGAGATTTGTACTCTACGCTGGCATCATATGGTATCTGACACATATCAAGTGATCGTTATCTCTCTCAAAATGTTGACTCTCTGACTCTCAAACTGTTGACTCTCTGATTTTTGAACATTTGACTCTTTAAGAGCCAAATATCGTCACATTCTCGGGAAAGTCGACAATGACAGCTTGGTATACAATGTGGCAGATCAACAACGGGCAACTGTTGGCGTTGGTCCGTACACTTTGATTCACATCTGACTATTAGACAGAACTTATACTTGAGGACACAAGCCGTCATGAAAGGTGAGAGATGAATAATGTCGAGGGTTCTTCATGAGCTGATGGTTGAACTCTCTGTCTCTAGACCGCTGCTATAGACAAGATCCGAACGGAGTCCTCCCAATCTCCTATCTCTCTCATCGACGAGTCAAGAGAAGACGATGCTCGAACCGTATACCGATCGAACCGATGACGAGAACGAAGAGCACCTCATGGGGCAACGAACGATCGAACGATACATATACATAACATACCTATCAGGGGTACATGGGATATGAATCAGGAGAGGTGGACCAACAAGTGCTACGAACAGCCGGCCGGTCAGAATAAGGAATCAGTTTCAAAAACCAACAGCGAATAACGATTGTACCGACACCCGGCCGACGATACGTAAACAGACGATACGAAAACGGACGAGAGAGAGTATTTCGAAAATTGCTACGAACAGCCGGCCGGTCGGAATACAAGGCACAATACGGGGGTTGTGGAATGTGAATGTGCAAGGGACATCGACATGCTACGGACAGCCGGCCGGTCAGAATAAGATGGTAGGATAGGAACCGACGGCGAAAATCGAATGCCACCGAGACCCGAACGACGACACGTCTCCCAAACTGAGAGCACATCGACAAATGTTACGAATAGTCGGCCGGCCGATCGATCGATCGAGATATGTATACTATAATACTAACCTTTTCAGGGAGAGAATCATAGCCAGCTTATACGACTGAACGCGAAAGAACATTTGCCTGAAAGGGAGAAAAATCCAACTGTCCACAATGCAAAATTCACCGTAAGTGTACTCTCTGCATGATGTATTACAGACTGGAATGAGCATCATTTCGTCCACCCTCCGATTTTGCTGACGTTGTTTTAGGACGCCAAACAGACCCCGCAGAATCAGCTTTGAGGCGCCTGGGGCTACTTCCTCTGACAGGCCCATTGAACGGAAAGCGCAAAAGCCACAAGAACAAATACCTGGAGCACCAAACGAGAGTTTTGCTCTCTCTTACTCAAGGGTAGGCTGAGCCTCGATCACACTGTCATGGAATCTTATCGAAGAAACTGCAGAAAGGGCATGATTTCAACAAAAGAACGTCTTGCATACCATCTGGGAAATGGACGTTTTCTTACGGCTAAACCCGCAGCTACATCAGCTCACCTTTATACATGTCTTATCTCACGTCAATTAGCTAGGGCAAACGGATCCGGTTCTCTTATTCCTGGACATGCATTGCAGATTTCTCTGTTCTCCCTTCGTGTTCGGAACGCTTCTCACCATCCGATGACTTGACAGCAACACAGCATTGAGTTCTGGACATTCTGGCCATCAACCGTCCAACTCAAGCGAGCTCTTGGTCTTTTCTCTTTCTTTCAGAGACTGATTCCCCGGCTTGCCTGTTTGAGCCCTTATATAACTATCCTGTCCTCCTTGATGATGTCGGCAGCCTTCTCTGCGACGGCATAAACCATGCTCTGGATGTTCCCAGCAATTTGAATTGGAAAGACACTGGCATCAACCACTCTGAGACTCTTGGTGCCGTATACTCTCAGTCTGCTGTCAACGACACCTCCTTGATCCCTTGGCTTCATCGCTAAGCTACAGGACGGATGAAAGCAGCACACCTGCGACTGCCGAACAATCTCCCTCGCGTCTTCTAAGAAATTTCCCTTAAGCTGCGGAATACGAGCGCCGTCGGGCTTGAAAAGATCTCCGAATGGAGCCGTACGGAGAAGCAGCTCGACAAACTGGACATGGCGAGCAGAGATCTCCAGATCCAGTGGATTCGAGTTAAAGTTCGGATCCCAAGTAGGGAACTCGTCAACGTTGGCGCTGGTGATGTGGACGCTGCCACGAGAAAAGGGGTGGTTCAGCATTGTCATGACCGTCAAGTAGTTCTCCGGGCTTGTCGGCAAGAGATAATCGGCCATGCTGGGCGGATTATCCATGACAGTGTGTGTCTGTGAGGGGAAGAGAAAATACTGCACGGCTGGCTCATCCTGCTCCTGAAGAAGCTTGCGGAGCACCTTTGCGTCGAGAGTCTGCGCATGTTGGTCGTGATAGGCAAACAGCGACTTCTTGGTATCCTCAGAGCAGACGCCTGCCCCATCAGCCAGGGGGACATAGGCGACGCTGATGTTGGACTGGCCCAGGGGCCCCTTGCCGCCATCCTGGAACTGCTGGAGAAGAGCATTAAGAACGTTGGGATCTCTCAGCACGTCGCCCGATGGAACGTCAGGATTAACCTCGAACGACTGGCATGTGATGGGATGGTCCTGAAGATTCTCGCCGACGTTCGGGTTATCGACAATAACAGGGATGTCCAGACTCTCTAGGAGGGACCTGCTGCCAACACCAGATAGCTCGAGGATCTGGGGTGACATGAGGGCTCCCGCAGCCAGGATAATCTCGCCACCAGTCAACACCGTCTTTTCAATGCCCTTTTGTGTTCGAATAAGCACACCGACAGCAACAGGCTCGTCTTTTGAAGTATCAAGAATGATCTTCCGGACGACCGTCTCCGTGATGACCGTCAGATTTGACCTGCTCGCAATCTCAGGGGTATAATGGGCGTTGCCGGCATGACTTCGAGTGTTGGTAGCAGGATCGATGCTACCGCCTTGTTGAAAAGCTCCCAGACCCTTTCCGGTTCGCGGATCGGTCTTCATCTCCAGTCCTAGATTGGCAAACGCCTCCATCCAGGCCTTGTTCGGCTTGCTATAGCCTTCGCTAAAGCACACCTGGATAGGCCCATTACCAACCACTGAGTCATCGTGATTTGCAAGGCCCAGAATATCTTTCGCGGCCTCTGGAGGGGGGTGGAACGTTGCGAACTTGCGCAAGTACGGTGATAGGGAATCATAGTCCCAGCCCTTGTTTCCCAAAGCACCCCAAGCGTCCAGGCTACCTCTTGGAGGATACAGCAGCATCATGAAGTTCAGAGCAGAAGAGCCTCCCAATTGCTTGCCGCGGGCCTGGTTGATTATACGGTTGTTGAGCCCCGGCTGGGGATGGGGTTAGTCCGATGTCCAGACGACAGTCGTTGTTCATACGGGCCTTGCTCACCTGAGGAGTCGAGCGGAGGTTCCAATCGTATTCCGGCTTGCCGTACATTCCAACAACGAGTCCTGGGATTTGGACGAGAGGGTCTTTGGTGCGATCTTGCCCGGCCTCAATCACCAAGACTCTAATATCCGCATCTTCGGTCAAGCGATTAGCAACTGTCAGTCCGGCTGTGCCGCCTCCTATAATGATATAATCGAAGACATCTACGGTCGAGCCCATGGCCGCTTGATGGTGGTGGAGCAATGTCAAGCCGACACGTCTGAACCTTGTCGTTGTATGGAGATCACTGACGAGGCCGCTTTCCACAACCATGAGGGAGAATCTGAGGATTGACGGAACAAGCCTGGGGATTCCTCGCCTCTTAATATGCGTATGCCAAGGGCCAGACCTTGTCCAGCCATGTTTCAGACAACAACATTCTTCGCCAGTTCAACTCCTTCGTACTGCTACCTTCACGGATATATGTGCACATCTCCCCCACGCGAATCCTTCAGACCCATGGAGATGCTCATATCGTCCCGGAATTGCAATGTCACACATCAGTCAAGGATGGTTACATCGACAGCCGTCGAAAAGCTTGAAAGATTAGCACGCAGTTGGCAAACCGACAAAGATTGCAGCTGTTTCGTATTACACTGCAGCCCTTCCCTTGCATACTGGCTAATCATACATTCGCCTCCACTGTCGATTGGCGAAAGACCAGTAGTCGACAATCCCCCGACTCTCTCTGCTCAGTCAAATCAGCGACTACAGTGCACGAAGCCTCGGTTTGCAGGTTGACGCGTCTGCGGAGCGTAAGGAGATACGTTTGCCGCATCAGTTTCGCATCCAAGAGCCGACAGCTGGCAAGGCTCTACAGGACTCACCGATACTTAGTGCCGCATGCTTGAACGCCTTCCCACACCGGTTCTATCCTCACTTCAGATCTGTGCTCAGTCTAAGCACTGGTACGGCCGGCGTCCGTGGCCTTTGGTTTTTGAGTTGGTGTTCTCCCCTTTTGTTGGACCTAGACCGTCTCCACTGGGGAAACTACTTCATACGATGATCTGATCCTCGACAAAAGTCGAACAACCAACGGCGACTTTTCAGACGCCAGAGCAAAGAGAAAACTACAGCTCGATTGTCCGCTCGTTATGTACCGCCGCTGATGGTTCACCAAGTTGTTGCTCTGGTCAAGTGTGACAAGAGCTAGTCTGCCCTTGGTCTAGGTAGGGATTGCTCGCGCTGTCGTACCTGTACAGAGGACGCATACTCTCTGGATATCCTATCCCTGCCGGGAAAGAGTGTTGGGCAAGGACACAACAAGGCAAGCTGCCGATCATGGTGCTGGCCGACAGGGGTCGCGGATCTCTGGCGATGTTAGGTCTCTCTCTGGCCTGACTCCAATATCCGTATTTGTATTGCCGTACTACATATGCAGCCAGGATATGGGGGCAGAGTACTGAACCAACAACACCCGGAAGCATGCTCTCATATAAGCAGTACTTTATCTAGTACTTTATCATGAAGGATGCCGCACGCTCAAGTCTGTTTGGCCGTGTCTGCCGAATGCACGGCAAGCGAAAAGGTGGATGATCCTGCTGCATCGACGAACCACGGCAGCAGAATGGCGCTGCAGACTGTCACATTCCCAATTGTTCCGGTGGTCAGGACGCACATTATCGTCAACAGCATCCTCGTCGCCATCGCCGTCGTTATTCTCGGACTCCGCCTTTTCGCACGCATCGTGACCGGGGCAAAGCTTTGGTGGGATGACTACTTGATACTTCTTGCAATGCCCCTGGGCATCGGCATGCTTGTCATTGAGGGCCTTTGTAGGCTTTTCCCGCGCCATGATAGATACGACTTTCGATTTTGCGAGACGGCTGCTGACAGGCATTTCTAGATGCGCCGATGGGAGTTGGACGTCCGGTCACCGAAACGCAGCCGAATATGGTCGTCGTCCTGAAGCTGACCGTCGCGTATGCGTTGATATACACAGCGTGCATCACCATCGTTAAGCTTAGCATCCTCTGTTTCTACCTCCGAGTCTTCCCCAGCAGCAAGTTGCGCATTGCCACGCAGATTGTGATCGGGCTTGTGTCGTTATGGGGCTTGGGTAGTCTCATCATGTTCTTCTTTGTCTGCCGGCCTTTCCAAGCGACCTGGAATCCCCTCGCCGAGGACAGTTGCGCAGACCGAATCTCGACATTCCTCGCAGTCGGGGCTTATAACATCGTTAGCGACATCGTCATCCTCGCATTGCCCTTGCGCACAATGTGGACGCTGAACACGCGGAGCCAAATGAAGGTTGCGCTGACAGTACTCTTTCTGACCGGCCTGCTGTAAGTCCTTTGGCATGTTCCCGAGCGGGTTTCCCGCTGTCTTCTCGTCCCGCTTCTTCCTTAACCGCCGAGTAATCTAACAACAACTCGGCCAATGCAGCAGGGTGTCTGTCGTCGCAGTCTGTCGGGTCATTACATTGACGCACCTCGACGTGGATAATGCAACAGGCACCATGGTATGGGCTGACTTTCTCGCGACCCTCGAGGCCAATCTTGGCATCATTTGCGTGTCGCTGCCGATGTTGGGTCCACTGGTCATAAAATACACCAAAGGCCAAGGAGCGAGTAAGATGGGAAGATGCGGCCTTTTCGATCAACCCAGACAATCAGGCTCGAGACTTCGCAGTAGGAAGAAGCGTCCCGGTCTTGAGACTCTCGCGCTGCAGTCAATTTACGACCATGGCGCAGACACGAACCACGCCACAACCGTGTCTGTCGCACAACCATCCAGCCCAGATGGAAGTCAGACACAATTAAATCCGCTGCAGCGCGAGCTTTCTGGGCAGCCTCGCGTCCGAGGAGGTGCCATCCTCGTCGAAAGCAAGTGGGAGATCCGTCGCTCTCAGGCTTAGGTATCTGTGGATTCTTCTCACCGGCACGAATGAATGGCAGGACGCTTGTTGGAGAGCATCTTGCTCGGAGGCCATCAACATCTCAAAGCTAGATCCGTGCCTACCAGTAACAACCCAAATCTCCCTGAGGCACACGGTAATCGTTGACGGGGACACCGTGGTTGACTCTGTTGGTATATCTGGCGACTTGAAACTGTACCTTTGGCTCGGTTTGGTCAGATGCTTCCCGATCGAGAGACGAGTGGCCATGATATTAGCTCAGCGGGGGAGCTTGTGAATCTCGTTGCCCCTGGGGAGTGGACGATGTGAGGGACGTATGACCAGGTCCTTGCTTCGCGACAGCGAGATCTGATTAGATCTCCAAGATAAAGGGGATGGATCTCGGTACACGCTTAGCCTCCTTTTGCTTGACAGAAGGGACATCATATGGTAGATCTCTGCTGGGGTTATCAGCGAAGAATCGCCGAAGGATATGGACCGAAAGCTGTCGAGCTGGGAACACATCAATAACTGATGCTTGATCAACTATTGTCTCGAAAATGTTTCTCGGCCATAATCGTGACTGACTGCACGAAACAAATGCACGGCCTTACAAGGACGAGACGACATGACCAAGGTCAATTTTTCTTGGGAAGCCGATTCCACGTCGGCAATCCTCGAGGTTGGAAGCACGCTTCGTGCACTTCCTGAGACATCGCGCCTGTTACCGTGGCTAATTTCTCCTTCACCTCAGGAGGCGAGAAGCCCCAGTGCCCGCTGGCCTGCGTTTGGACAACCCTTTCCATTGCAATCTCGGAGGAGCAGGCGTCAAACCGAAGACGGGCAGCACCAGAGGACCTCCACCGCATACAACTAGCTAAGACGCATGTCGGTCGCCGTTTCCCGTTGAGGACGCCTCCGAGCCTTTGATGATGCCTTGGTAATACTAGTAGCAAGTGTGCCCAGCAGGGTGTGCTACTGGCATCCGCGTCGCCATTCGGACGCCCCATCATGCGGTCTTGATTGGAGCAGTGCGGGGGGCAAAACAAGAAAAGAGAGACATATTCTAGAGCAAATTTTCATGCGACTAGTCGCTGGTCGATGTTGTTGTCTGTCGATTATGACAGAAGTTCTCCATAGCTTTCTGATATCTGACCAAGTCTCAGCACTCGGCGCCGTCATCTTTGCGAAAAGGGAGCAGTCTGGTGGTCAAGTCTTTTCATCTTAGGGGTCCAACTGGCGGCAAAATAGCACCACCAAGCCGTGCTACAGCGCTCGAGCTTTCGCCGCATCTCCCCTTGCATACACTATCGAAAGCTCAGAGCCTTGCGGCTGACCTAGAGCAATATCAAGGGGCGATAGCCTTTTGGCGGCGACTGATTGGCGACTGCGATGGTGACGGTGAACTGCACAACGGTTCCGGCCAAGACACCTCCTGAAGTTTGTGGCGGATCAGTCAGGGTCCAGCAGAAGACACTGGATTGTGTGTCATCCCTGTCATCTCATGATTCTGTTGTGGAACTGGTCCAGAGACGGCGATTGTTTTCGAGCGAGAGACGACAGATCATCCGACTCGCTCTGAGAACTATGGGGAAAAAGAAGAAAGAAAAGCTCGGAGCATTGCTGTGGGACACATCCCGAACCAATGCAGTAAGTAGACGCGGTGCTCCATACTCTGTGCTTCGTAGCTGAGGGCCGGCTACTAGGTAGTGCCCAACTGGAAAGAGAAGAGACAGAAGAGGCAGTGTTGCTGCAGCTGAGCCCAGAAGCCGACAAAGCCCACTCGAAGAAAAATCTCGCAGGATGATTCCGGTTCTTGACTGAACTCAGAACCAAATTCATCTACCGTGCAGCTGTATGCGCATCGTGTTCGTAGTGAATGGGCGTCTTCACACGCCATTGATAGCCAGGGCGCGACGCAAAGTGCTGACCAAAGATCGATCGGCTTGCGTAAGATGGCGAATCGGGGACCCAAGCCAGCGGTTCCCAACCCAGCTGAAAACTTGTTAGGGCTGGAGGCTCAGCGCGGGTTGCATCCCGGCGATGCCCATGGTCGATCTCCCGTTCGCAAAGCTAGCTGGAATACACGAAGTACTTGGTACAGTGCATGCAATGCATCCTTCTCGTGCAGAATACTGCATCTGCAGAGCTGCACTGCATGCTTCGTGTCGATGTACAGTAGATTGCCTCTGGCCGCCTTGTCTTCCTTTTCCCGAGCGCTGATATCAGAAAGCTAGATGCCCGGGCATCTCGACTGCCAGACAAGTCGTAGCACCGCTCTCTAGCGGGGATGTCTGAGCGCAGGAAACCTCGAATCGATGTCGTTTGCTGCTGGCGTCTCAGTCTACTGCGTTGTGGCGGATGCAAGGGGGAAATGGTCTGTTGGAGTTTGCGACGCCCGGACGGAAGAGCAGCTTCACGGTTCGTCTTGCAAGGACACAAGACAGTCAAGATTAGCCGAGTCTAGCTCTTATCAGAGCCAATGCTGGAAACCACTGCATCCAAGCATTGAGGCATCCCTGGTGCGCCCCAAAGCCGCAAGCTGTGAGTGAGTGGCTGTTTCGCAGTGGAATGATAAGATCTCGGGTTTGATTGGCATATCAAACTCCGCTTCAACACGACAGTTGGGGAGAGTTGTCCAGAGAAGGACGGCGCCTTCTGATGGTACTGTATCCGATTCGCCCGTTCTTACTTGCACAAAATACCAGCTAGAGAAGCCAGATGCTCGACAAGATCTCAACGGCCATGCCGTCACTTTACTGTGCTGCTAATCACCCTCATTTTGGCATAGTTGAGGCGCGTGGATGTAGCAGAGAAGAGTAAGAGCACGGCGGCCCAGATTTGGTAGAAGCAAGTCTCCCTCAAGATGCGAGGCAAAGAGACATGCATGTCCGAACGTTTTGAATCTGTCGTGGGTGCAAACGGCGTACTTGTCAAAGACAAGGCAAGAATGCTACTGGATTTCAGTCGTCCTGCTGCAGTCTTGCAGAAGGTAATCAGTGACTCCTCTCTCACCCTGCATAACTTGATTCCGGAGAAATCTGATATCGTTTCCGCGATGCCCCGGTCAGAGTAGAATAGAGGTTGGACTTCTCGGCGTTCCTATTCCACTTGTCCATCTTGGTTCTCCCCTCTTCTTCTTTCCTTTTCCCTCCAGCTACTCCACTTTCGAGGAGATAGTTCCGAAAACCCTCGCGTGTGGCGCAGCTGAACTTGACCTCCTGGCGCTGTGCTACTGTACTTCGTACGCGGAGCAGCCATCCGCGAGTTGGCTAAGAAAGCGAGGAGATTAGTGCGGTGGCGCTTTGATGTCTGTGATGGCCAACCGAGTCTCGGCTCAAATAACAGAACGGGAAAGGTGGAGCAGCGCCGTTCACACGTGCCGTGTCCCGCTCTCCATACGACTGGGGGAGCCAAGCAACTCCGGGGGTTGAATTGCGGCGCCAGCCTTTGGTTGGATCTTGATGGGTGGGAACATTGATCTCTCGATGTGCCGGCGATCTCAGCCCTCAGCCGTTTAGCCCTGCAATCAGGGAGCGTGAGCCAATGCGTCCTGGCCACTCATCGGCCAAGCCAGCCATACCATCGCCATTCATGTCGTGCCTGGCTAGTGAGTTCTCAGCCCAGGCTTCAAAAACCCAGACGCTTCATAGATGTAGGTGGCGGCCAGCCCCCTCATCAACCCCAGCCGGTGATTCGGTCCTGCTGAGATCAATGCCTTCTTTTACCCCTCTGTCCCCTGGGATTCCTGATGCAGGTCTCATTAATCCACCTTCCCTGCTAGAGAGGAAGCAGTCTATACGCTGTCGCCATCCTAGCAGAGTGTGGACCAGGTTTGCTTCCTTGCATAAGCCTCCTGTGAGCTGCAAACGCATTCAGGTGCAAAGCAATAATCGTATGCCACAGATGGTTTGCCTTTTTGTATTTGGGCTCTCTTGGGGACATCCCGTTCTTATACGCGCGTACATATCGATATTTCCACGCCCCTGTGCGAGCCGTATAAGTACTTCACGGACTTTCCTGGTGCATCGTTGTATATCGCCTCATACTGGTCCCCCATTTGTTCATCAAAGATTGCATCCGCGGACATCGTCATGAAGCTTCTTTCTCTTCAGTATCGGCGACCCAAGAAGGTCGACGCCGAGATCTATCGCCAGCGTCGAGAGACGTCAGAAGAAGCTGAAGGATCTGTCAAGTCGGGATCATCTGGCGTATCATCCGGTATTCCAGATGCCCTGAGCTTTGATAGAATCATCAATGGCGGGACTTGTCCGGTAAGCCTGCGCAAAAACACTCTTTGCTAGTGCCTTCTTCTAACACTTGCTGAAGCCCATGGCTATCCGAGACTTCATGAATTATCTCGTCTATGTCGAACACGCGGCCGAAAATCTTCAATTCTACCTGTGGTTCAAGAGCTATGAAAAGCGTTTTGCCGAGGCCACAAGCAGTGAGGTTGCTCTATCTCCAGAGTGGACGCAGGCCATGGAAGACGAAGTTGTAGCCAGAGTCCGCAAAGAGCAGGTCGATAAGATGAGGCGCGAGCCCGCAGCGACGGCAGCCATCTTCAAGGGGACTGATTTCGAAAGGCAAGCCGGCGATAAAAGGGGCAACCCCTTCAATACTTCTCTCGAGTCTGCAAACGCCGTCTCGGATCACGACTCGCTGGCTGCGTCATGGGAGGTTATGACCGTCGGCGGCAACTCCAACGCTCATACCACATCCGCCGCCAGTTCGTGCACACAAGTTGCAGAAGCTTTCCAGGCGGCTGGAGCCAGACTTCCATGTAAGTCCCAGGAGAGAGGCACCTGTCCATAGATGAGAAGAAGGCTGTTGCTGACCATCTCCGCAGTCTCCATTCAGCCCTTTCACCAGGAGATCAACCGCATAATAACAAGCTACCTCATAGAGGGCGCTCCACGGCAGCTTAACCTGGCTGCGTGGGAGCAAAGGGCAACGGTCCATGCGCTCGCCTATACCACGCATCCATCAGCCTTCCGCATTCTCTTCAAGAGCGTTGACGCAGCGCTTCGACTCCAGGCACACCCCAACTTCGTTCGCTGGTCCATCTGCAACGGCAACCTCCCCCGTGTCTATTTCGCCCGGTTCCTTGGTGTCGCACTCATCCTAGTAGGCTTCATCAGCGCCATCATAATCACCTTGAGCAAGGCCGGGCGCGGCTACCGAGTTCTTCCGCTCATTGCCTGGGCTTTGGGAATGAGCACCTTGATTGCCGCCTACAAGGGCATGTGCGTCGTCTTGCACGGCTTGCATCACCGCCACGTCCGCCCCTGGGAGCTTTTCACCCAGGATGACGGCGAGGAGTTCGGCATGTGTAATATGGAACCCTTCGGTTCAAACAACAGCTATGAGGATGAGCCATGGGTGGTCAAATATCAAGAAAGGCACCTTGTTCGCAAGATCTTCGACCGCGAGATCTGGATTCAGGAGCCTGCCCTGAGGCAAATCCAGGATACCATCTTCTGCCAAGCATTGCTGGCAGGGTTCGGCTTTGGTCTCATTTGCATGGCAATATTCCTTGCCGTACCAGGAGGACACTTTTTCTAGAGACGTGGCATATGCTTTGAACAAAAACACAAAGTGTCTGAATTGTGCCTGTCTGTCTGTTTGTCTGTCATACCTGTCTTTCGCGTTCTCTCTTTGCCCTGCCTCGTCCGGCTGGTTGCATAGGAAAATGTGTTCCGTAAACAGAATTGGACATCTTGAAAATAAAAGTGAACTGAACATCAACGCCGCCTTGCGCCATTCATTGCCGCTATCGTACAATCATAGTTTTTGCTGTAACATAGCCGTGTCGACGTTCCTTTCGCAGTCACAATGTGTTCGCGGTTCACGTGAGACTGATGCGGGAGAAGAAACAACACGAAAGTTGACAATAGAAGAGGAAGATGAAGGAGGAAATAAGAAAAGAGAAAAGGGAAAATGGGAAATGAGAAACAGGAGACATGAACAAGACGATAGAAAGTGGAGGGTAGAGACAAGGCAAATCAAGGGGGCAATTTATGCCAGTAGTTGACCTGAACCTCTAATCTTTTCCAACTCCATCATGAACAAGCAAGGTAGTGTTCTCAAAGCATCATTGTCGAAATCAATCATCGCGTCCGTCATGATGAAAGCGCTTGTTTCTAGGTAAGCATCTCTGAAACATGCCCACAGATCTCTCAGGGCTTTGATATTGATAAACCGCGGCCAGAACGGCTCATTCTCCATCACGGCATCCACAAGCTGCGTGACAGCCGCATCAGGGGTCTTTGGAAACGTCGCGCAATCGGCAAAGTCGATCAACCAAAACTGCACGTGGCCTCGGACGTCTCTCCCAAGGACGAATTCGACGCCTCGAGCGTCAACACCGCAGCTCCAGTGAAGTATGGCGAGCGTTGCACCCATCGAAGCAGCAAGATAGGATACCTCCACACGCTCCGCGAGTAGGTGGTCCAAGTAAGCTGGGCGGTCGTGAAGGTCAGCGTTCCATGGATCGGACAGTGGTTTTGTATCTCCCAGGTAGACCTTTGCGAGGAAGTGTTTGGATTGACAGGTACTCAGAGCTTGGCCCTGTGCGCTACGGGTCAAATATCGTCTGATGAGATACTTGGTGTGGTGCTCATTCAAAGGGCGGATGTACTCCATGAAGTATCCGCTTGCGTCTGCAGGAAAGCCGTTCAGGTTCTTGAACGTTTCGGAACACGGTGAGGATGAGATGTTTGGATAGAAGCCTGAGCATTCAGGTACATAGGGAAGATCAATATCGAAGCCATGCATGGTCAAGTGCTTGGACATTGCTTTGAATGTTGTTTCAACATTGGTGTGGATCTTGTACTCCCTGAAAAGCCTCTTTGTATTCCTCGAAAGCTTCGTGACGCGAAATGGCGGCATGTTGGCAACATAGATCCATGCCTTGTCTGTCTGAGCAAGAAGATGCGCCTGCAGTGTATATCTTAGTACGCGGACAAAGAGGAATTTCTCACGAAAGGGAGACTGTAATATGGCTGATCAAGGAGGCGGGAGAGGACTAACATGAGCCCAGAATGCCGCAATTGAAGAGCAGAGGCACCTTGACATGACAGTCGACCTCTTGATCTTGGGCTTGATGTCGACTGAATTGAAGATGTCCAGTATGCGATCCATGGTAGGCCGTGTGAATAAATAACAGTTGATCGTACGGGAGGGTTCTGTAGAGAGCTGGCACTGTAACGGAGGTGTGCCACAGGGGAAAGTTGCCGGTGGACGCCCCCAGGAAACGGTCAACGATGGAGACGACGACGATGGCTAATATACCGACACTCCCATGCAGCCAAACGCCATTTTTGCATCATCACAGCCCTATCACTCCAAGACCAGTTAGTAATAGCCTTGGTAGCTTGATACATGTATGCAAGGCGTCCTCTTACTTGCAAGCCCGCTCAAAGACACGGTGAGGGGATGAAGCGGCATCTGTCGCTGAGGAGGGGCAGCGGCTCGCCCGGGCTGCCCTGGTCAAGCTCGACCAGGTGGATCACGGGGAGAAAAGGCAGATAGATGAAGCAACCTTCATCTTGTTGATTGGCTTTTAGACTCCTCGTAGTAGCGTCTGCCGTTGAGTGGTGGTTGTGTAGCCGGATGAGGGAACGATTGTCTGGGTGCTTGCACAGAGCAGGATTGCCGTGCCATCGTGATTGCGGCGCCGGGTGAATCAAGCCACTCTATTGGGACGTTCATGAGTTTGCTGATTGGGGCGCCGTAAAGTTGCCTGTCTAGCAGGGCAATATGTACAGTGAAGCAAGGAGCTGGGCTCCGTGGAGATCCTTAATAGAGACAGAAGCCTGGGAAGACGAGGCAGTTGTCGACAGGGGACGGCACTTGGCTAGGCCAGGTATTGGTTGGTAAGGTAGTGGAGGAGGTTGCGGTTTATCATCAATGGAGGAGTGCCGCCGTACAGTAGTGGGGTGGGGATGGCTTGCGTTGATTTAGTGTCAACGCCAAATCAGCGTAGCATGGTTGGCTTGGTGGACAGCGGCGATACGACCATTGTTGGTGGTGTGAGGAACGCTCAAGGGGAAAAGAACGAAGTTTTTGAGTTGAATCTGGAGGAGACGTAGGTACGAGACGATGGAAGAAGGCAATGAAGGGGTAAAGAAACAAAGTTTGCACTGCCGACGGAAGTTTAGAAGCGACGTATCTCGTACCTGTACTGATGTCATTGCAAAGGCAGGCACGCATCGTGATGTGACTGGAGGACGAAGCGAATTGGGTTTGGCAAGGTAGGTACGGAGCAGATAGAGCGGAGTGAGGAAGGAGCTCAGCTCGGCTCCGCAGCGTGAGGGGTTCCGCCAATGCCATGAAGCTTCAGATCGGTGTATTGGTCGTCGGAAGCTGGCAACCGTAAAGATAACGGCAAGGCACAAGGGGGCAGAACGCGTGAAGATAGAAAGGGTTGGATTCGTCTTGTTCGTGTGGTAGTGTCGTGAAAGCAGCAATGCCTTGTAGCGGCCCGTTCATAAACCGACTGTAGCCTTGTCTACTTGCCGCCGGAAGAGATGCTCGGGTGTGACGATGAAGAACAGATAACGCTTCGTGCCGTCATACCTCATTCCAGTGCTTTCGTGTCTCAGCCATTTCCCTATTCTCTTGCTTTCTCCCTAACTTTTTGTCCTGTTTATTTTTGTTTTTTCGTTGCAAATCAGAAAGGGTGTGTGCTCGTGGATGTGCTGGGACTCCAAGTCGATTTCCGCGCAAAGCATTCCTGCGGTACTGGTATTGGTTGGCCATATCTGACACCCTTGTGGAGGACAGAACAACGATGATGCCCCTCTGCTTGCTCTTTCGTGGTCTAGAAGCTGGTCTCGCCCTCGTGCCGTCTCACAGAACTAGAGATGGTTCCTCTTGTGCCGCGCCACGAGGTTGCTAGAACTTGGAGTGGCCAATGCTGGATTCACCCATCGCCTTACAGCTAGATGCGCCGGCGCTGCTAAGCGGACGGAGCCGATTGGAAGGTTGTATAGCGTCCTGGTCTTCGTCCGGAGCTTGCAGGAGGCGTCTTGCCTAGCAACTACTAGCAGCATGAGAATAAGACCACTATGCAGACATGGTAGCAGAACATGCATGCATGAGTAGCTCGCTGAGGATAGGGAACACAAGAAATTAGCCGAGAGAGATCGTTCTTGTGATCACTTGGAGGATGACCTCTGTTGGATTCTCTGCGGCTTTGATGATGCTTGAGCATGGGTAACACTTTGCCGATGGCCCTCTCCCGGTTAGGATCCCGTTGTTCGAGGCATCCACTTTTCGCCGTCGGCCGCCGCCCCGATTCCCAGAAGAAGCCGCCGGAGCTGTTACCTTTATTTTGCCCCAAGAGAAGGCCCCTCTTGCGAGCTGCTCATACTTATACGATACTCTTGGCCGTTAGTAACAGGACCTTGAGGATGATCGAGGCAGCCAGCAACTGTTGTCATAGTACTTGGTACCTTAATAACTAGCAGAACATCCGTGTACAAGCTTCTTGATGCATGGGAGTGCCTTGACCAGATCAATGGATTAACTCTCATCCTCCCGCTACAGATGAAGAAAGATAGTGGAGCGATGCCAGCGATGCCAGCGATGCCACAGTGATCGAAGCTGTCAGACACGCGGACAGCCATGCTTGAAGTCGGTGAGGGGGAATCGGAGGACTGATGCCGGATAGCTGGATAGCGGGAGCTCCGCTTTTGGGGTGTCAAATGGACGTGCTTGACAGATCGGGGAAGCATGCAATGCCGTCCGTCCGGTGGGTCGATCCTGATGTTAATAATGTTAGTAATAATGATGCTGCGGCAGCCTTGCCCCTTTAGGGCTTTTCGCCTTTTTTTTTTTTTCTTCTTTTATCTTGTTCAGTTTCATCGAGATGGGATGATGGGCGCTCTCGTAGAAGGGTAAGAGATATCGATTTTCTTCCCGGAATGCAGGGAGGACACAGTACAAGCATACACATCAACTGCTTGGCCTGCTCGATTGTCGTTTGTCTCTCCCTTTCAGTGATGGGTGGTCCGTTGATCTTTAACGAATGAGCAAGAATGAGAGCGGAGAGCTATTGGCGTGATACAGGTCGGGTAGAAAAGAAGCTTGAATGATTGATGAGTCTGTATGTGCGATGAGACAAAATGATGCCACTGCGAGCATATTGTGCCGACAGAGCGATAGAGCCAGATACGTAGGTACGGAGTAGTACTACTATGTATTGCGAATGGCTGCTTGCTCCTGCTGCAGGATGATTAAGTGCATACGCATACTGAGAACTTCAAGTTATCCTTGACATGCAGTCCGCATTGCAGTAGGAGAGATGAGTGTAACGACGTCATGCATAGTCCGCCCGCAGCAAATGGAAGCTGTAATACTCTGCCACTCTTGTTCAGTTCTTGCCTCGGTCAGTTCTTGCCGCGGGTTGCTATTGCCTTGAATATTTTTGAGCCATTTGGGCTCATCGACGGCAAGTGCGGGCTACTAGTAGTGGAAGGCCTGAGACGTAGATAGAATCCGGGGCAATGGAGAGGCGTCGCAAACCGACACTTTCGCCGGTGGCCCGAAGGCTGCCTCGGTCAGCAGCGGGTCGACGGAGTCAAAGCGCGCAGTGAAAGGAACAGTTGGGAGTCAGACGGAAGGCGCTGTATCGATAAGCAGCGCCCTGCTGTAGAGGTCCGAAGTACCCCATACCCATCCATTGTTAGCGAGGCTTTAGCGCTGGGAAGGTGCTCAAACGCTTCAGTGGAAGTCGAGGGATCCCCAAACCAGCCAAACAGGGGCCTCTCCGCGCTTTTGTGGGCGACAGCCCGAGTACGAATACCTACCAGCCCCGGACCCCATCAGCAGGGCGCGATCATGTCCTTCTACTTGATAGGTACGACGAGGGCTAACGGCATGGCAGTAATCGTAGCTGTGTCTTGTTTTATCAAAGGTAGTGGTACAAATAATGGTCGCATGCCTTGTGTTCCGCAATTCTTGAAACCTGGGGGCGTGCAACATTACGGGACGGAAGTTCAGGTAACGTTGAGAGCGACCGACTGCTTGCGGCGTCTTATTAGTCGCAGCTCCTGTACCAGTTTGTGCGGCGTAGATTCAGTACTTTTGAGCTTCTATTTCCCTAAAAAGGACGAGCCAGCAATCGGCTCGTCTGTACGTCGCTCATCTCATTGAACTGGCTATTTCCCTCTTTCTCTCTCATTATTATTTACTTCCTCAGATACGAAATACAAGACGAGCGCTGGAAGGAGAGAACAAGATTCAAATTGACAATGACGCCCTCAGTCGCGACCGAGGAGCCCTCTCCGGCTGCCCCGCCAAACCAAAATTACAGCCACAACCACACGAACAACAGCCAGAACCAGCGGCAGCGGCAGCGACATGACGAGCAAGAGAACGGCGACGACGAGCAGCAACGACGCACAGCCAAACGACCGCGGACGCGGACCATGACGTCGACCGAAGACATCGACAGCACCATCACGCGCCCGGGGAGCGTCAAGATCAATGTCACGGGCGCCTTCATTGTCGACCCGGACGCCTCAACGCCGACGCAGGCCAGCGACAATGGACGAGTCAGCCCGTCGCATCACGAGACAAGCGACATCCGGCTGCCAAACCACACGGCTATTGTCAGCCACATCGCAGTAGATGTAGGCGCAATCCCTTTGCCTCTCCCCTGTGCTTCCTTATGATCAATTGTCTGACCACAAGTGTTACCAATGGGTTCAGATTGGTGGCTCTCTGGTTAAGCTCGTCTACTTTTCTCGCGAAGTCGATTCCACAGACCCCGGTGGTCGCCTCAACTTCCAATACTTCGAGACGGATCGCATTGACGACTGCATCGAGTTCATGAAGCTGCTGCGTGACAAGCACAAGGCGCTCAACGGGTCCCGATCGCAGGAGCTCTGCGTCATGGCTACCGGCGGCGGCGCATACAAATTCTACGACCGAATCCGGCAGGAATTGGAGGTCGAGGTTTTGCGAGAAGACGAGATGGAATGTCTGATAGTTGGTAAGAGAGAAATAGCCATCCGCGGCTCCAATTTCTATGGCAGAGAATAAACACTGACCCTTTGTGAACAATCCAGGTCTCGACTTCTTCATCACAGAGATCCCCCGCGAAGTCTTTACATACTCCGAAGCAGACCCTATGCACTTTGTCAGTCCTCGCGAGATCATCTACCCGTATCTCCTCGTCAATATTGGCTCCGGCGTTTCAATGCTCAAGGTTACTGGGCCACGGTCGTACCAACGAGTCGGCGGCACTTCGCTCGGCGGCGGCACCCTCTGGGGTCTTCTCTCGCTCTTGACCGGGGCGCGGTCATTCGACGACATGCTGGCCGAGGCTGAACACGGCGACAACACCAAGGTAGACATGATGGTTGGAGACATCTACGGTGCCGACTATGGCAAGATTGGGCTCAAGAGCACGGCTATTGCCTCGTCCTTTGGAAAGGTGTTCCGCATGAAGCTGCAGAGCGAGGCCGCGCAAGCTGCAGCCGCAGCTGCGGGCGAATCGGGACATGACGATACTGAGCACAGCCATTCCTTCTCCTCAGCCGACATCTCGAGATCGCTGCTATACGCCGTGTCCAACAACATTGGCCAGATCGCCTACCTACAGTCGCAGATCCACAACCTCTCCGACATTTACTTTGGCGGCTCCTTCATCCGGGGCCACCGTCAGACGATGAACACGCTGAGCTACGCCATCAAGTTCTGGAGCAAGGGCGAGAAGCAGGCGTACTTTTTGCGGCACGAAGGCTATCTGGGCGCTGTTGGGGCTTTTCTCAAGAGACAGCCCGCAAACTGGGGTCGCAGGGCGAGCCTTGAGAACGCCGACGATATACAAGAATGGCGAAGGACGCTCAAGACCAGGGACGAGAGTACGACTAAGGATTAGGAAAGCAAACGAGAAAAGCGGAGGATTCTTTCTTTCCTCGTGTTTTTTTATGCTTTTCAAGTTTGTTCAATTTCATGTGGCGAGCTCTTGGCCACAGGCGAGCATGAGATAGATCTTTTCAGGGTTTTGCGTTCCGGGGTGGCGTGTTTGGGCACTATTCTTCCTTTGCCGTCATGTTTCTTTATTCCCTTTCTTTCTTCTGGTCTTCTACTTTCTTCCTTATCTGGTGTTGCTACGGCCGAGCTGAGTGCATAAGATGCATCGTTGGTGTTTAAAAAGGGAAGAAACTGGGATAAAATCTCCCAATCTGTATAACAATATTGTAATTATCATAGGACTACCTACGCTACCACCTTTCTTTGATAGAGCTGATAAGCATGCGCCAGAGTCGGACTCGAAAAGGCAAAACCCACCATCATTTCGGTGTCATATCAGATCTTAACTTTCAATGCCTGTGTTGTGCCGTGCCGCGCCGTCCCATATCTGAAAAGAGGCCGTATTCGTATCGTATTCGCATGGACACATTGTGCCAAAACGAAGAAAGGCTTGAAGTGGACGACGGATAATCTGCCAGGGTATCGATTGATATCATAGAACAACACTGGAAGAGGCAGGCAAAGCAGTGGTATGTGTTCTATTTCCCTCGTAATCTTCCCAAAATGTATTGTACAAGTAACGCCCAAAAAGCACTCCGACAGTGCAGCTCGAATCCTCATCTGAAAGCTTTCCGTGTGAGGGTAGATAGTCATACATAGGATATGCGAAGATCAAGTGACGCTTCTCCAATAATCCAGCCTTGTCATCGCAAAGGCATCAACAGGTTGTTCGTGATATGGCGGGCCGTTATCGTCATTCTCTTCCTCGCACCAAGATACTCCTCCTTCTATCCCTCATCTCGATGAGTGTGACGCCGTGCTCGTTTCCAGAAACCACAAAAGCGAGGAAACTTTTCATTGACATTGAGAAAGACCCGCGTCTTCATTTCTCCGCCTGGCCCTTCTCATTCCCCTTCTCCCCGCTCTGAACAGACGCCTTGTCCATCCCCAGCTTGGCCATCAAATTATCCATCATCTGCTCAAACTCCTTCTCATCCTCCGCACTGACCTCCCCCCCAGGCCTCTGCAGCGCCGCCCTCGTCCTCTCCCTCAGCTCCTGCACAGAGCTGAGATCAAACGCCCAGGACAGGCCCCCCGTCAGCAGCACCGCAAAGCTCGCCACGTTGAGAGTCGCCAGCCCCAGCGCGTGGACGCCCAGCAGGGCGCCCTCGGAGCTGTTGCCGTCCTGCGGGCCGGGGCTGTTGGACGAGTAGAACTTGGGAAAGGAGGCGCGCTGGCGACGGAGCACGGAGCGGCGGGACACGCCTACGGAGGCGGCAGTGAAGGCGGCGCCGAGGAAGAAGAGGCTGAATTGCTTGAGGGGGCGGGACCACGAGGCGGAGTATGCGTTGATGTCTGGTTGGCGCCGGATGGACTGAGGTTGTGAGGGAGCAGCCTCTTGGGGCGAGGCTTGTGAAGGTCCTTGGGACATGGCGGATGAGGGTGATGCTGTTTGGCTCAGTAGAGCATGATTGACGGTGTCTTTCGTTTCCTTTCCTCCGATAGATTCTCAATGGCCAATCAAATCGGGATCTTATTCTTTTCTTCCCCAAGGCTTGCTGTTGATGAGTTGTCGTTACTCTGAGATCGATTTTGATAGAAGCAATTTTCGCCTGGTAGTGCATATCCGCCACACCTTATCACTGTAGGCGTCAGCCGTCCGGTTCGGATAACTGCACACTAACGCCTTGTGGTTTCTGGGGGCTCGCCCCGAATGAATATCGGATCTTCTTCACGACTCACTCAATCCAAGGCCGGATGCCGATTTGTTGATGGATTTGCATCTGCTTTCATTCCGAAGTTCATACTAACACTTCCCAGACCATAACTTTGCACTAATTCGCGACTCCAAAGCATCTCTGGTTGGAGCCACAGGCCCAACATTCACCGTCTGGCCTCAATTACACTGTTTATACAACACAAGGCTCATCTAGAGCACATCATACATCATAGAATCTCAATCAGGAGATCATCTCTGCACAATGCCCAAACCCAAATCCTCCAAATCATCTTCAACCCCCCAAGCACCCCCTCCAGCCGCAGCACCACCATCATGGCCAGCCTTCAAACCCCCCTTGCCCGTCGTCGAGCTCTATCCCGAGCTCCATCCCGCAACACCCAACATTGTCCTCCTCTCCTCCTTCTTCCCCCGCTCCCTTTGTCGCGACTACGTCGCGTTTCTCAAGACACTCCCGCTGCAGACGACTCCTTCGAGGCCCAAAAAGGGCGAGGCGGTCCGCGTCAACGACAGGTTCCAGATTGACGATCCGGTGTTTGCACGCAGATTGTGGGAGACGACGGGGCTGAAAGAGGTCATACTTGAAAATGAGACTATAAAAGATCTATGGTAAGTCTGTCCCGTATAGCCCTCTCCGAGACACACACTTGAAGGTTCTTTAATACTGACTCGCCCTCTTCGTTACCAACAGGGGCGGCCAACCCGTAGGCCTCAACCCAAACATCCGCATATACCGCTACTCCAAAGGCCAATACTTTGACTGCCATTGTATGCACCAGCCCCAATCACCACCCTCTTCACTTCTCTTCAAGTCCCAGCTAACTAAACCCTATTCTCCGGCCAGATGATGACTCCAACTACCTGACTCTCGACTCTGAACCCGTCCGCACCACCTGGACGCTGCTTCTGTACCTCACTTCCTCTGCCGATGGCTGTGTGGGCGGCGAGACCGTCTTTTATCCTCACGACCGCAAGTCTGCCGCCGAGGAGATTGTCATATCACTCGAGACGGGTATGCTGCTGTTGCACAAGCATGGACATGATTGTCTGCTCGTAAGTTGATCCGAAATTGATTCTCGTCTAATTCCTGTTCGAACAGCTAACAAGATTACGCACCATAGCATGAGGGAAGAGAAGTTCAGCAAGGAGAAAAGTGGGTGCTGAGAACTGATTTATGTGTCCGAAGGTAATGCGGCCACATGTTTGGTACATAGGGAATTATCATCTTCGTGTGTCTTGAAGTTGGCAGGACTGCTTTCTTGGACAAATGATTAGCAAGCGAGTAAACAACAAGACGTGAAAAGAAGCTACACCATTGAAATAGAAGAAACTAGATTGCATCGATTATGATTCCTATCATCCGACTGCTCGCAAATGCGAAGCCAGTCTCACAATATTTCACTGTAGAACTAAAGTAAGGGCAGCATCTCTCACTGAGCTGATGTAGCCTAGAGAGAAAGCAGAAAACCAACCACTGCGAAGCGGCGTACAACATCTTGAAAGAGAAGAAACCAAGCACAATTAAGAAGGTTGTAGAAAGAAGAACAAGGAGAATAGTAGGCCTCCCTCAGCATCATGCAGAATAATCATGTCCTCAGAATAGAACCAAGTCACCGAGCTCAATCAAGAGGCCCTGTTGCTGCGACACATTTCTCTCCTCAGAATCCGGCATCTCAGTCTCCTCGCCATCAATTCCTGCCCTCTCCTTGGGCTTGACATCCTTGCTGGCTTGGTCATCTTCCTGCTGGATGAGAGGGACAAAAGAGGGTACAGCCACAGGCACTCGTCGATGAGCCGCGGCGAGGACGGAGTCCTTGGGCTTGCACTTTCCATCAGTTGCAACTCGAATCATGACCCAGGGAAAGATCCAGGGGAAACTGATGAGCGGCATCGACTTGGCTTGCAGCTCTCGGGCTGGTTTTATCACACCGGCCTCATTCGTTGGTCCGCGGTGATGCTCGAAGAGGGCAATCTTGACCTCCTGCTCCGTAACCTTGTACATGGCTGCCACAAATCTGTCAATCTTGGCCTCGTCGTGGCCGCCAGCCGCTTCGATGCATGCATCACGGAATCTCTGCTTGACCGCGTCAAACTCTTTCCCAAGGTCCTCCTGCCGCTTGTACTCGCTACCAATCGGGGGCTTTGACATGGCCCAGGAAGTATACAGCTCAAACTCCGTATCCAGGTTGTGGTGCACAAGGATGCGCCGTACAGTACCATCGTACTGAGACTTGAGTCTCCTGGCGTCCTTGAGCATGGCGTTGTCCAGCTCGAATCGGTTGAGGATACGTCGATCAAAAGCGGTTTCCCAGTCGGGCTGGAATTGGATTGACTGCTTTTTGACCCTGTCATAGATGTCTCCAAGGACCTTTGGCGAAGGGTAAGAGTTCTTCTTCTCCATAAAGTGCGGCCATTTCGGCGGGTTGTGCTTGGTAGGATTCCACTCCGCGGGCTGGCCAGTCTTCGGATAGTCGACAGCTTGCGAGTGAAGCTCAGCCAAATGTAGACCTTGAGTCCCAGCGTGTCAGTGGATGATCTCAAACAAACGTAAACAGCACGCTTGGTGTAGACTTACATATCTTTGAAAGGGGCCCATCGGAATCTGCAAATGCCAAATGAGCTGTGGCAATCAAGGGGAGCACGTCATTCTTCATGTATTTGACAAAGAAGTCACGCAAATCGTCGACGTTCACCTCGCGGTCGAGCGTCTCTGGCGTGGGACTGGAGTAGCTCATGGCCGGGTGGTTCCAGAGCTCGGGCAGCAGAGTAGGTTCCCAGATGACGAAGAAGTCATCGCCGTCGAGGTCTCCGCCAGACAGCATGTTGGGAACGGGGCGGTCTCCAGTGGAAGGAAATACAACGACGTCCTTGAGATGGTGAAGCGCGGGAATATCGACAGCCTCAACGACTCGGATGTCGCCTGGATGCAGCGACGGGTTCCGTCCAACCACGCAGAGACCCTTGACGACATGCATCTTCTTGTAAATCTTGGAGTCCGACACCTGCAAAAATATTTGGGGCAGCTTGCTGATGTCCTTCTCCGAGGAGCCTTCCGTTGCAACGGAGTGGCCTCTTAATGTAGCCGTCTCGTCCACACAGCCCAGGACGAAGGCACTCTTTTCGACAGGAATTCGAGCTTTCTCTTTGAGTAGCTTCAAGGACCAAGACCTCCAAAGACTCAACAGGTTTGCCACAAACGGTTCTTGAACCTTGTCCGTCTTGAAGCCGGCTTGCAACAACTCGGCGAGGACCAGTGTAGATTGATTCTCGTCCACGCAATCGGTCAACATCTCGATCGCCACCTCATTCTTCCCCATTGCTTCCTCGTAGAGACGAATCTGCTTCTCCAAGATGTCCAAGAAGGCCTTTTTGGTCACGCCAAGGCATTCCAAGATGGTGATTGTCTGGCGGTTGAGTGTGGCGGACGAGTACTTGGCGCATTTGATGATTTCGAGATTCTTGACTTCAGCCTTGAACTTCTCCTGAGACTTTCGAATATAGACCTCCCCCTTCTTAGCCTGAGGCCAGATGACAAGTACACCTTTGCATCCGCCCATGCGGAACTGAAATGCAGAAGGTTCTGTGTACACATCCAGAGTCATCTCTTCGACGATCATCTGGGCCATGAAGTCGGATATGATGCCGACTCCGTCAGTAAAGCAGTAACCATTCCTCTCAATATCGGGAATGGACCGAACGTCGGGGATAGGAAGGCCTCGCATCTCTCGCGTCGTGGAGAAACACTGACCCAGCCTGGCAGCGTACTTGGCCACGATTCTGATGTGGCCGACTTCACCCATCCACCGACGAATGTCGTCACAAGAGATGTGATCTGTCGGACAGAAGAAATAGGCTCCGCACTGTCTGAGCTGAGAGCTGCCAAAGGCCAAAAACTGGTAATGACGATCACCGATCTGGATGCCCTGGTACAAGGTCCGAAGTAGTTTCTTCCAAATGTCCTCTTTGTTACGAGAGTTCATGGCCATCCGGCCAATCTCGGTCTCTTCGACAAACTGTACTCTCAAGAAGCGGTCCTGAATATGGTTGAAGTATCGGAGGACTCTGTTTGAGGTTTCGACAACGGGTGTGCTAAGGAGGATGGTGGTAGGGGTGACGGCGGCTTTGCGTGCCAACACGCAATAGTGTGGAATTCTGGTATTGGGCATATATGACGCGGCAGCGGTCCAGTTGAGGAGCTCCATTGGGTCGTACATGACATCTCCCTGGTCTGCAAGATACTCAAGTCTGCGTTTCGCGTCGAGGGGATCAAGCGCAGCCAGACCCTGGAGAAACTCCAACGATACCGTATGTTCGTTGAGCATTCGCCGGCCAACGCAGACTTCGAGCTGATATCGAACACCAAAGTCCAGGTGGACAAACGGGTATAGGGACGACTGTAGGAGGGCCAGAGCATCCCCTTCGCTACCAGCATGGTGATGGTGGTCAAGAAAGTCCCACATGGTCACTGACGAATGGCTAACTCGGAAATCTTCGCAGACCTGGAGATTGATATTCCGATCCTCAAAGGCGAGGAGAAGACGATCGGCAGCCAGCTTAGAAGAGTGGTCTGCGTTGCTCAAGACGACGCGCAAGGCGGTCCAGCGGCCAACTTCAAGGAAAGCAGGGTCCAGATGGGTGCTGTCTGCAGCCACAGGAAATGTGAAGGAAAGCGTGGCGTCTTCAGAAATGTCGGTGGCCCTCCGCCACATGTCGAGAGGACGGCAACCAGGGGTGCGCGACCTGGGAAGACTTCGAAAAGCTTCGTCGTCACGCCAATAGTACTGTGGGGGGATAGTAAAAGGGAAGATGAAGACGTCGTGGCCGTCTTCTTGGGCGGTTTTGAAAATGGTCTTGGTTTGTGACAGCTCAGCCAAGATCTTGAAGAGGCGGGTCTCGTGGGTATTCGCATCCTTCTTGACGCGAAGCGGGAATAAGATGATCAGGCATTTTGCGAGCACATCAACTTCCATGCTGATCGTGCTGCCGCCTGGGGAGGAAATCGACTTCCTGATGTTGATGGAAGTCGGAGCAACCAAGGAGCCAAAGTCCAGTGACGAGAGGTTTGCGGTGATCCGAGAAGGGTACTCGGAGTCGGGATGGGCCCGACTCACGAGCCATCTCTCCGGGACTGGCTGGCGAGACATGGCGGTTCCAGGCTATGTCCTCGTTAGCTGGTGTACGCAGAAGAAGAAGAAGAGGAGGAGGAGGAGGAGGAGGTAGACGAGAAGATAAACACGAGGGTCACGGCAGGCGGCAGCTGCAGAAGGCTAGGGAGAGGGCAGGAGGGGGGTAGCGGAAGATGGAGGGGGCAGAAGTGCAGCCTTACTTATAGAGAGGTGTGGAGAGGGTTAGAGAGGAAGGAGGAGAAAGAAGAAGAGAAAGAGGGAAAGAGGAAGAAGAAGAGAGGGAAAGAGGAAAGGAAACAAAGGCTGCCAGCTGGGAAGGCTGCGTGCAGCTGCACAAGTGGAGAAGGGACGAAGGGGGAGGAAGGCCAGGTGCAGGCAGCACAACAGCTGCCATGCCAGGCGCAGTGCGTCACCTTGGCTATTGGCATATGGGGGCTATGGAATCGAAATAACCTCACATTGTCAAGCAGTATATGTCCTTGGCTACTGCATGTTGATGATTGTCTAGGTTGGCTACCGGCATGATCGAAATAATCTTTTAGTCACACAGGGCACCTCCTTTGGGACCTCGAGAAGTTGCGTAATCTGGGGGAACAGTCACAAATTCGTGCCTCTCCGTCCATCTTTTGACAGTTTTCAGACTCGTAGGGACGGCCTTGAGACAGTCAGAAATAGTGCTGTCTGAATATATGCTTGTCACGACACTCACGCCATGGAGACAATCCTAAGGGTGAAACTCAGACTGGACATGATGTGTTGGTTTAGACAAGGTTAATACTTTCAGCTTTAAGAGATGTATCTAGTAGATCTGACTGAATCTATAACTCTACATGGTTGATCTAGCTGCAAATAAGCCTACATCTGTTTCTCTATATCTAACGATCTCGAGTAACTCTACAGCTGACATCTGCAAACTGCCCATCTATGCATCAACATGGCTCTTTTGCTTCTCCCAGGGCACATCCATGATCTTGCCCGGATTCAAAATCCACCGTGGGTCAAGCGACTTCTTGATGGCCGCCATGACTCCCAGCGTCTCGGAGCCAACCTCCCACAGCAAGCTCTCCTTCTTTCCCCATCCAACGCCATGCTCTCCCGTGCATGTTCCCTCCATCTCGATGGCTAGGCGAACCATGTTCTTGACACAGGCCTCGACCTTGGCTCGCTCACTCTCGTTCTTCTTGTTGTACATGATGCTCTCGTGGAAGTTGCCGTCGCCAATGTGGCCCAGGATGCTGGCAAACAGGCCCAGCTCGTCCATCTCCTTCTTGCTGATCTCGATGATATCCGCCAGTCGGCTGAAAGGCACAGCCACGTCCGTACTCCCTGCGAGAGCAAATGGTTAGATGATCAAAGACGACGACATAGATGTAGAGGCAGAATGAAAGGCATAGACTTACAAACATCCTCGCCTTCCTTTCTCAGCGCCAGCATCGACCACAGAGACTCCTTCCTGGCGGACCAGAGCAGCTTTTGCTCCTGCTCATCTTTGGCGAATTCAAAGTTGCCTCCCTTGTTGGCTGCTGTGATCTTTTGCACCAGCTCGACCTGCTCTTGGACACCAGCTTTGGTGCCTGCGAATTTGAAGAAGAGCGTGGGCTTCTCAACCCAGACTCGGGGCGCCGTGAAGCCACTCAGGTTGACGACTCGCATCTGGACCTCGTCCATGATCTCGAGGCACTGCACTGGAATGGCCGCTTGCATGACGCTCGCGGCTGCTGATGCGGCGTGACGGATGGTGGGGAAGTTGACGACGGCTACAGATGTCTCTTGCGGAACGACGGCGAGCTTGAGGGTTGCTATAGTTGGGTTTGTTAGTTTTGCATCGCGGTGAGCTTCCTCCCTGGGTCTTTGAATTCTTACCTTCGGTCACAATTCCCAAGGTGCCTTCAGAGCCCACAAAGAGGCTGTTGAGATTGTAGCCCGCAGACGACTTGCGAGGCCGTCTGCGCGTCTTGATGATTTGACCATCAGACAGGACAACAGTCAGGTTGATGACCCAGTCCTTCATGGTGCCGTATCGAACTGCATTGGTTCCCGAGCAATTCGTGCCAATCATGCCGCCAATCTTGGCCGTGGGGCCTGAGGCGAGTTAGCGAAAGAGATGGAGACGGTATCTGTCAAGACAAACCGGGATCAACTGGAAAGAAGAGGCCGGTGCCCATCTTTGCGAGCTCAGCATTCAGATCTTGCCATCCAACGCTAGGCTGCACAACGACGTCCATGTCGGCCTTGTTGACCTGGATGATATTGTTCATGTAGGCAAAGTCGATGCTGACGCCGCCATAAGGGGCAGAGAAGTTGCCCTCGAGACTGGTGCCTCCCGAATAGGCGATAACGGGGACTCGGTGACGGTGACAGACTCGGACGATGGTGGCCACCTGCTCGGTGTTCCGGGGATACGCCACGGCTACTGGGAGCTCATCGGGATTCACCGTCGACCAGCTGGAGTAGCCGTGGGCAAGCAGGTCGTCGGGATCCGTGGAGATGATGTCTTTGTTGTTGCCAAGCTCCCATACAATGTCTGAGATGGCCTAGATGGAGGAGGATCAAGCTGATTAGAAGGTGTACTTTGTGATGCGCATTAAATGACTCTAATCCAGTCCAGATGTAAATTATTCAGTGTGGTGTGTGGCTGCTGTTTGAACTCACCTCTTGCATCTCGGCACGGTTGGCGAAGCCTATTTCGGCATCGTCATTGGCCACTTGGGGAATGCCTTCATGCCTCCGGTGACTATTTGTGCTGTCACCATCATCATCCCTATCTTCATCCCTGGCGGTTGACTTCTTGTGCTTGACGCCCTTTTGGTTCCGTGAAGAGAGGAGGCTTGAGAGACCCCAGCCGCCGATACCCGCCGCAGCTGCAACAGCCAGAACACCCCCACTGGACCAGCCTGACGATGCTCTGGATGTGTTGGTTACACTGGCATTTGAGACGTTGTTTGAGCTGGAGCTGGAACTTGATGATGATGATGATGATGATGACGATGATGGAGCGAGCGTTCTGTGGGTGACACGATAGCCCCGGCAGAGACGAGGAGCTCCTGTGGGTGCGAGTACAGCTGCAGCTCCCGCCACGGACCTGGCCAGACCATGCAGCTGGACTCTGGAAGCTCTGGTGTTGGCAGCAGTGGCCAGCAAACGGGACCGTGCCCGGATCAAAGGTTGTGCAGGCATTTTGGGTTCTAGACCAGGCACATTGACCGTGTTGCCCCTAGAGGTATGTATTAACTCAGGTTACCTGATAAGGTAGTGAACGGCAGTTGGTTTGGAATTCGCATCATACCTCTTGTCTTTCCGTCACGACAAAGCCTCGTAGAGCTACGGCAGCATACCAAAGGCATTGATGACGGAGGATTCAAAATGATGCGATTGATAAATCCAGCGGTAAACCCTGAAGTGGGCAGAGCGCCTTGTGCAACCGAGGATCACAGCCTACAGGCAACCCCGCCGTCAATCCCACCTCCTCACCCTGCTCTACCTTACACTAAAAACATGACTACTAGGCATGCCCTGTCAACGGAATCAACAACTGTCAGATTACATGTGCTCTGCATTCACCTTTGTTTTAAGAAAACAATAACATCCGGGTTGTCTCTGCGGATGACTGTATGTTGAGTGGTATTATGGCATCGGATCAGCGTTGCGAGGCATCATTTTGAAGACACCTTTGGCCTGCATCCAACATGCATCTCTGGTCACCAGTCATCACCAATAAATGGGTCGAGGCAGCAACTCCGCACACGAAGCACTGCCTAACCGCGTGACCCCCAGTCACCAACGATTGGGGTGATATGACACGATGCTTCAAACTCATGAAGTAGGTAGTACCTTACAGTAAATGCATGGATGTACGTAGTACGTGTATGTATGTACGTACTTTGCATGTAATGCAGTCTCTGATACCGTAGCCGGATTTCGAAATGGTCGCGTAACACGGCATACCGTAAGGTAGAGTAACCCAGAGCTGCAGAGGAATCGAAAAGGTTGCCGAGATCTACCCGTGGTACCGGCGTCAAGATGGAAGAATTGGAAGACGAAGAACTTGGGAATGTCACAGCATGTTGATGATTGGGAGAAGGGGAAAGCCTCCGCCTACACAATGCTCCCTTGGGTGTCGGCCCTCAAGATCTGCTAACAAATGAAGATCATCCTTCGAGAAGAAAAAGAATCAACCTAGTTTGAGTGGCTTTCGAGGGCTTTGCAATCGGACTCATTTTGAGCCGCGGGAGACGAGCAGCTACCAGATACTCGGGATTTCTAACTGCCGTCAGCCTTGAGATTGACTTTTACTGGCACTTGAACAGTCTTGAATCATGACGGTGTTGATGAGGTGCTGAGCCAAATACTGTACGAGCAACGCAAGAAATGATGCCCGCGTTAAGTGCCAGCATGGCCACTACGACCGAGTGAGCATAGCACGCAGCATTACATATTGGTGTCTCTGTGGCAGACTTTCGGGTTCCAGGGCCCTCCATGTAGTTGTACATACATCCGATATTATGAGGGAACGGGGGAAGAAGATGGAAAAAGAAAAGAAAGGCCAGGTCATCACGCCTCCAGCCGAGACTCGGAGACCCGCAAAGCCTCCGGGTACCTTAAGTTCTCCGAGAAGTACTGCTGAGGTACCCCGCCATCAGGTCCCAGTCTCCCATGCGATAAGGTTCTCACAAGTACTAAGACTGTAAAGACTCGGCTTTGCTGTGCCAGGATGAGGCTGATATTGATCTCTTGGAGTTGCTCTAAAAGCAAAGAGAGAATACGTCAAAAGATCCCCGAGGAGGTTCGTTACCTATCTTGGTACCCAAGCTCTATTCCTTCTTCTTCCATGTCTTCTTTTGCGGCTTCATCTGTCTGAGACACCACTTTGTACAACCAGCCTCGTGAACGAGAGAACAAGCCTCAGCCGCACCCGCACCCAAGACATGATAATGGAATAGAGTAATACTACATCTCTCCATTATCGTGGCGACGGGAGCCAATATTTCAGCCCCAATAGTACAACTACAGCAGCTCTACAGCATGCAAGGGGCAACCAGCCGTCTCCTTGCAGCAACTTACTAAATCGAGGATTTGTTCCCCCGCCAAAGGTCCGCATCGCGCCATGCCTGGCCAAATTCCAAATAAGACCACCAACCGGCCATTATCACTACATCGTCGCTGGCGGAAGGACCCGTCAATATATCGGCTAAGGTAGCAGGCGACACTACCAGGCACATACAGTAGGTACTGCCAATGTAGGTTAGCAGGTCACTTTGCAGCAGGTGGGAATCCCGTGGGGACTCGTCGGTAGCCGGTGGGTATGCACGCCGGAGCCTTACTCGAGCATGCCATACCTACTGCACGTCCGTTGATTATATGCATATATATTGCCTCGCGCAGGCATCTAGACCGGATTCCTCTTCCTTCTCCATATCCGCTTTACCTACGCAACTTTTATACACCGTCTTCTTCTTTCACGCCTAGAACGTACCTAGTATATATCCGAAAATCTGTGGTATGGCTCCTTCTTCTACAGCTCTCCCACCTGGGTCTCTCTGACCTAATTACTTCTACGATCTTCCCACCCATCAAGATCTCCGCTTGACATCCCCAGACGTACTGACATCGATCTACCTAGACACCCCAGATCAACCGAGTCAACTCATCAAAATGTCTGTCCTTGAAGTCGGCGACTCTTTCCCGGGCAACGTGTCCTTCACCTACATTCCGTTTACTCCCGAAAGCAAGGACATTACCAGCTGCGGCATTCCCACCAAGTACAACGCCAGCGAGGGTAAGGCTCGATTTATCATGTCCTCTTCACTTACACATACTGACCATATTCCGATAAACAGAGGTCCAGAACAAAAAGGTCGTCATCGTGGCCGTCCCCGGCGCCTTCACGCCCACCTGCCAGGCCAGCCACCTGCCCGGCTTCATCCAGAACATCGACGCCCTCAAGGCCAAGGGCGTTGACCAGGTTGTTGTCATTGCCTCCAACGACCCCTACGTCATGTCCGCCTGGGGCAAGGCCAACTACACCAAGGACGACTTCATCGTGAGTTGCCCCTCTTCTTGCGCTGCCCCTCTTCTTTGAGTTGTTTTGTTTGCTTGACTCTCGTTTTTTGTCTGCTTCCTCTTCCAATCCTCCCCCCTTGTCATGTATTTGCTTTTTTTTTTTACCCCTCCCTCACGGAGTTCTTCCCCCCTCTATCTCCTGGGCTGTGGGACGACAATTAGCTAATCCATGGACAAATTTTTTCCATTTACAACAGATCTTCGCTTCGGACTCCGAACTTGCTTTCAGCAAGGCTATTGGCTGGACCCAGGGCGATCGAACTGCCCGATATGCCATCGCCGTCGACCACGGCAAGGTTGTCTATGCTGCCAAGGAGACGGAGAGAGGCGTCGATGTCTCGGGCGCCGAGGCTGTCCTGGCCAAGCTGTAAATAAGCTTGCTGCTTGACTATTTGGTCTGTTTTTCCCGTCTGGAAATGAATAGAAGAAAAAAAAAGGGCACTTCGGAGAAATGAGGTGTTCTGGGAATTCAAGGGTATATCATCATCAAGGGACTAGATAGCGCCATTGAGGAGTCGAATGATTTAATTCACACTGGTTGCTCGGGAGCCGCTTTTGGATTCGTATTCGGTTTGGTGGGCATTCTGTGACGATCATGGAGAAGAAGGAAGTGTATATCAAGAGTATACCAAGATCCTATAGACCGGTTTCCGTCGATATCATCTGGCAGCGTCACATCAGAATAGGAAACAAATCTCACACTCGGCCTGTTATATCATGACTTGACGGGCTTGTTTGTGTTGTTTGTTTCGCAGCAAAAGGTCCCATATACGTAAACCCATTGCACCGGTATGTCATTTGCTCAACTACCAATGCACCCTATGGCATTCCATGCACCCGATATGTGTAGAAGAACCGGCCGGAAAGAGACAAGAACCACAGACTCCATACGTTGTTTCATTTTGCTCATCCGCTGCGCTGCACACACACACAACCCATCCGTCCCGTCATTCGTCCTCAACACCCCCAGCTCTCAAAACGCTTTAGCGGGTTCGGGCAGCGACCTTAACCTGCGCACCCTTGGCGCCCTGCTTGCTCACGTTTCGCTGGGTCTGGGCCTTGGCGGCGACGGCGGCGTTCTTGGCCTTCTCGGCCTTCTTGACGGCCTGGGCAGCGGCCTTCTTCTCCTTCTCCTGTCGGATGGCCTCGGCGCGAGCGGCAGATCGGGCCTCGGGGCGCATAGACCGGCGCTCCTTGATGACCTCGAGGGAGGCACCAACGATGGCACGCTGGGACTTGACGGCACGGCGAGTGCGCTTCTTGGCAACTTCCTGCAGAGGCTGTCAGCTGTTGTCCGGTATTATCCCAGGAGATCCCGCCAGCGACGCAGATGTAGAGGCGAGGTTGTAGGTGTAGATATATCTGGCATGTCAACATGTCTGGACATGGACAAGCCAGGAATCCATTGACCTGTATCCCTCTCTCTCATCGTTGCTTCCTTCGTCGCGTCGGGGAGAAAAGGGCGGCTATTCGTTCCGTGTGATCGTACCTCAGAGATACCCTTGCGGTGCTGTCGTCGGTACAGGACGGTCCAGGCAATGCGACGGGGGTTCTTGCGCTGGAGGAAAAGTGACTCGGACTTGCCGTTCACGAATCGGAACACCTTGCTGTCGCCACGGACATAGATCTTACCCTGTTGAGGAGAAGAAAGGCAGTTAGCAGCCGTAAGGTGTGAATGGTCTTTGACGTTTGCTTGGCTTGGTTTCCGCCCATAGAGTGAAACAAGCAATATGCGAGCAAGGCCATTTCGATGTGGCGTTGGCAATCCTCCCAATTCCATCATGCAGCGTTCTGCTCGTTTGTCCTCCCAGCGTATTCCCATCAAGCCTCTCCTCGTCGATGCCCTTCCGTCTCTTCCATTGTGTAATCGGCCTCGTCCAGCATCCCCATCCCATGACGTCGCATATCCCCAACCTCAAGACCAAGGGCAGAAACCAAGCAAAAGCGAGGGCGAGAGAGGGCAGCAGCGTACCTTTCCAGGGTAGATCCTCTGGCCGGAAAAGCTGTCTTCGTAGGTACGCATCTTGCCGCGTTGTGTGGGTTGTTGGCGACAAGGTGTATCGTTGAGTTTGGCGTTTGAAGCAAAAAATTGGGATGGTGAGCAGCCGGTTCGCTGGGATAGGTTCAATTTCACGAATTGGTCGCTGTGTGGTCGAAATGACTAAGCCGGGCCTAGGGCAGGCGTTTGTGCGCGCCAAAATCTCGGCAAGTGGGTATAGCACGTGACTTTGCACATGTTGCTCAATTGGTGGGGTCTTGGAAGGAGCAACGGTGAGCAAAAGAACGGCGGAGCTCGAATTGCCTGTTTCGGCTCTAAGCTTGAGTTGACCTACGATGCCTCAACTCACACGCAACTCAACATACGACCACTGACCTAGCAATGTCGTGTAGTGATGATTTCATGACTATCACGGCAGTATAACTAAGAACATCCCAATAAATGACGTCTCGTGCAAATCTTATTGCGCGCACCGTCATCAGCCAGTTCGACAAGCTCCCGTCTAAGAGGAAGCCCTGCGTTCGCGACAATGGCCTCAACGAATGGGTGCCCCTGAGCGGTATCGTAGCTGAAAGGAATGGAGTCTTGACCTGCCTGGCATTAGCGTAAGCTTCCTCTTAACCTGCTCAATTCAATTAATATGTCAAAACAGTTCTAAGATGATGAGTATAGGACGGGCATGAAATGCCTTCCGGCATCGAAGCTCCCCGAGGCCAAGGGTGTGGCCATTCATGACTGGCATGCCGAAGTTCTGGCGATTCGAACTTTCAATCGCTTCTTGTTGGACGAGTGCCAGACTCTCGTTGATGGCAATTGTGATGAGCATGAAACCATCCTCCAGAGAGATGATACTCGCCATGTCGATGCGGAAATTGGTCGATATACGAGACCTTTCAAAGTGAAGGAGGATGTGAAGCTTCATATGTATTGCTCTGAAGCCCCATGTATGTCTATAACATGTTTTCAAGGAACCTTTTCTTTCTCATTAACATCAATACCAGGTGGAGATGCCAGTATGGAACTCATCATGGCCGCTCAAGCAGATGCCTCCCCATGGCAAGTCCCTGCCTCCAAATCGCCAGCCAACACGCCACCAGAATCAGAATCAGAATCAGAATCTCCAACACATCTCCCCGGACGAGCCTACTTCTCCCAGCTGGGCATCGTCCGCCGCAAACCCGCCCGCGGCGACGCCCCGCCCACCTTATCCAAGTCCTGCTCCGACAAGATCTCCCTGAAGCAGTGCACATCGCTTCTCTCATCGTTAGCATCACTCTTTGTCGACCCAGGAAACGCCTACATCGACACCCTCGTGCTCCCAGAGTCACAGTACTTCGCAGCTGCCTGTGAACGAGCCTTTTCGCCCACGGGCCGAATGAAGCCTGTGGTCGGCAAGCAATGGCCCGGAGATTACGCTTTCAGACCGTTCAGGGTCGAGGCCACGAGCGTCGAGTTTGCCTACTCGAAGAGGGCGGTGCAGGCTCGCTCCGAGGCCATCTCGGCGAGCAATCTCGCTGCTACGTGGTCGGCCTCTGGCTTTGAGGAGTCGATTCTTGGGGGCGTGCTTCAGGGGTGGAAGCAGTTTGACGTGAGAGGTGCTAGCAAGTCTTCCAGGAGGCAGATGTGGATCACGGCGAAGCAGCTGTCTGAGGGTCTCTCGGCTGCCGTGTCTAATTCTGGGTTAGACAATGATGCTGAGAATGCCCCTGATACTGATCGTCATCGAGAACTTCGAGAGCACTTTTCACTAGCAAGCAGCTACCAGGGCCTTAAAGATGGGCCTTTGTTGGCTGAGCGGAGGCACGTCAAGGTTCAAGCTCGACAGCTTGCGCTCAAGGGCTGGGTTCAGAACGAAGGGGACTCCGACTTTGGCATAGCATAGCATATAATATGGACAACTCCCAAGCTGGCTTCCAATCTCTTGGACAAAAGTGCAGGCAGCCAGGCATTCACATCATTCAGAGACTCGGAGGTTGGTCGTTTTTTTCTTCTTTGTATCCGGATACAGATTGGCCTCTTTGTACAAACCACCTTCCCCCCTCATCCCTGTTTTTGGCGTCACATCATTACAAAAACTGACGTTGCCGCATCGTTTCCCTTTCCCACGCTCAAATGTGCACAATCCGGCGGGTATGAGCGTACCCGAAATCGTGATGGTAATAATAACAAAAAAACACACCAATTGGCAACGCGACAGAAATTCTGCCCAAGGAAAAAGAGAGTGTCCATTTTGCTTGTCCTCTCCGTCCAGACGCAGTCTCTCGGCTCGTGGAAACCAATTCGTCGTCGTCCCGCTGCTCGGAAGGTTGTAACGTAACGACAGCTAGAGAGAAGAAAGAAAAAGAAAAGAAAAGAATAAGAAAAAATCCCAGACATGCCCCCCGCCAAAGATGATCATTTTCAGCTCGCAGTTTTGTATCCGGTTACAAAATACATGCCTTTGTTATTTTTTGCTTTTTCTCTTGTTATTCTCTCTTTCTCTTATGCAAGGTTCAATCAAGAACCTTACTCGACCTTGCTCTCAAAGTTCTCGCCCTCGACCAGGTCGGGGATCTCGTCGTCATCCTCGCCCTTCTCAGCCTTCTGCATGTTCTGGTAGCTCTCGGCGAGCTTGCGCAGGGAAGCCAGGGAGTCGGGGCCGAGCTGGTTAAGGATACCGGGGACGAGCTCGGTGAGCTCCTTGTCCTCACCGTTGCCGTAGATAGCGAAGGTGTTGGACTGGACGGCGGCGTGGACTGCGAAGAGAAGATGATGTCAGTATTGCCGTCGTGCGATTGTGTCGTGGAACATTTCATGGTTTTGTGGGCTTATTCGGGTCACAGCCGAGGCTGGTTGGAGCGACATAGCAAGGGACGAGACGTACCCTTGGGAGCGGCAAAGTGGATGACGTTGCCGTCGGACTTGAACATGTTGACCTCCTCGATGGCCTGGATGGGCTGGGTGTTGAGCTTCTTCAGGTTGGCCTGGAGCTTCTTGTCATCGTTGTTGGAGCGGGCGGGCGCGCGCTTAACCGGTCTTCGGGGAGTTCCCTTTCCACTGCACGGCGCAATATGTCAGCTGGTCAGTTTCGGCATCGGATCATGTTGTTTCGCAAGAGATCTATCGAATTTCGAATTGTGGTGGAATTTCTCGAGCAATATGTGAGGAGGGGTGGTGGTGGATGGGGGGGTAACGGTGCTTGGTAATTGGCGACGACGTAACATACCCTGCGCAGAGACGAGATGTTAGATGACGACTCCAGTATCAAACAACATAACTTCATATAAAAATCAATTCAACAATAGAACGTACCGATACGGCCGGCCTGGCCAAGCTTCTTGAGGCGCTCCTGGACGTCGGACATGATGCTAGTTGTTGTGCGGAAAGGCGAAGGAACTAGGGGTGGGAAATGCGGGGGGGGTTGAAAGGTCGAGGAGCTACATTTTTGAATTTCGCCTTGACATCAGTTTCTCTAGTCTGCCATTTCGCCTGCACCAGGGCTTTCCTTCTTCGGTCGGCGCGGAAAAAAGGCCGGAGGAGGGCCTCTCGGGGGATCGAAAAAGATGCACATACCGAAGATTCGAGGGTCGCACGTCAAAAAGGGGGGGTTTAGAGCTGGTTCTCTGTCGATTGTTCTTTTCGTCGCCGTCGGCTTTCGTTCGATGATTACAGCGGCAAGAGTAGGTTTTGTGCGTGCCAAGACTTTTTTGCGCGCCGCGGATTTTCTGTTTTGCCGAGCGCTTGTTCGCATGATGCCCTCATTCCTCCGACCTTCTTTCTGTCTGCTGAGGCTTCGTCTTACTACATTGCGCTTGATAAATCCCGCGACATGCTCTTGCTACATATGCACGGCTACCAATGCCTGAAAATTACCTAATGCGATTATATCAACTGCACATGGATTTCAAAGGACATATTCTCACAAGACACGATCTATTAATGATTCAGCCGACGCCATTTCGTTGCTTCACGGACCTGCTGTAGCTGAGCTAAGCAACAGCTGCGCTGCACAGCTCTCACGATAACAGACGTAACACAAAGAACGTGCAAACAGCGAACACACCTATAGAAACTTGAGGAACTGTTTGCCTTGCAAGTCTCATTTCATTCTCAGATCCTCAATACCAGTCACAACAAGGACAGAAACAATTGTAGCACAATTCAGAAACCGGTACAGAGAGATGTTGGGTATATTTAGTTTGACACGTCCAATCGACGTGCTACAATAAGCATCGTAAAAGAGAGCATTTCATCATCTCATAACATACAAATGATTCCTCATGTCCACACAGCAACACAACTCCTCTTTTTTACTATTATCAACCACCATTTTCTCTACCCGAATTACCAGGAGGTCGGTCCAATACCCGGACCACTCGTGGGTGCAGCCCTCAAGACGGCAGCGCCCTGGGCATCCAAGTTGTTGTTGATCACAGTGTTCCCCCACCAGTCAGGGAAGGTAGCATTGCCCAGACCCAGGCCCAACCCGACAAGGACAGTGCAGATAGCAGTGCCGATGTCAAGAGCACCAGACAGGACATAGTTGTACTGAGTCCACCAGCCGAGCCAGCGCCTTCGGATCCACCAGTTGAAGATGAGGCCGACAATGCACCACTGGGCGAGATACCAGGTAGTCGCCGGCGGGATCATGCCGGCAGCTCCAAACAGCGCAGGGAAGACAATGTACCGGAGCATGGAGCGAGGGTAGCGGCGGGCAAGGACCCACTGGATAAATGGGCACAGGAAACCGATCAGCCAGAACCAGTTGGTCCAAGAGTACCTGAATTCAACAGTTAGCTATTATCTCCCATTTTCTTTTCTTCATGGCACTTTAGCGGAACCAAAGCAAGATACTTACAATTGACCAGCTCCAAACACCAGCTTGGGACCAATCACACCCCAGATAACACTGGCGTTGTAAAAGGTACGAGCGTTGGGGCAAGTAAGACCCTGAGGCTGTTCAGGGGTGCAAATGCCGTCGATGTTGCCAAGCAAGAAGTTATAAGCCGCAATCTGCACAATGGAGAGCCAGATGACAGCAAACGCCTGAGCGCCAAACATGCTGCGGGGAGGAATCTTCATGTAGTGACCAACTTTCATGTCAGACACGTACGTGAGACCGTTGTAAGTCATCATGTAACCCCAGGACTTGAACAGCATCATGGCAACGGGGCGACCCGGAAGCATATAGCCGAAAATCATCTCAGTGATGATGTTGAGACCAGTCTGCTGGTTGGTGATGGCTTGAACCATGCCCACGGGGATAAAAAAGAAGAGACCAATGAGGATACACAAAACGAAAGCCCAAGCAGGAAGATGCGTTGGCCATGCCAACGAAGCAGCCATGCCGAGTCCAAAGGATACAGCGAAGATGCTTATGAACCACCACTCCGGTGTTTCACGATACTTCTTCATGAGCTTCATGTGAATATCAGGTTCCTCAGATCGAGAGTCGATGGATCGACGCCACACATCAGGGCCATAAAACAAGGCGATGTGAGTAATCGTCGAGATCAGACCAGCAAAGCCCATGCCATAGGACAGCGAGAAGGCAGGGCCCAGCAAAATAGGAGAGTACTCCTTATAGGCCGTCAGGTTAACGGTATAGTCGGGGTTGAGGATGCGGCTCGTGTTGTAGGGCTGAGCGTAGTGGTCGAAGTTCTGGTTGGCACTCAGGGGGAGGTAGCGGTAGAACTCGGGACCAGCATAGGCAAGGCCAATGATTCCCAGAAGCATCACAAAGATGCCCGCCGCCACGTTGGCAATGGCAAAAGCCGGAGTCTGAAGAGGAGAGAGCAGGAAACCCGAGATAATTGACCAATCAAAGGAGATGGGCAATAAACCGAGTCCAGTATTGCCCCCAAAGACCTGGTTGATTACGACGTTATTTGGGGCACACCACACGGGAAACATGAAGAGCTGGAGGAACTGAGCAATGACTTGAGGAACCCATTCCCAGCAAAAGGTAGCAGCGGCGACGATGAGGAAGAAGCTGTACCGACCAATCTTCCAGCCGTTCGTCATGGCGGGGTCAGCCGCAGAGTGGTCGTGCAGAGAGTACATGACGGTGGTGGTGATGAGCACAGCGGGCCAGACCATGGACGAGGGCCAGACGAGGAATCGTCGAGCAACGCCAGCAACACCGAAGCCCATGGCTTGGGTGGACAGGATTAGGAGAATCTGGAAGCCCCAGCCGAGCTTCTGGCTGTAGAAGATCTCCTGGGCCAGCAGGATGTCGATGGCATAGGAAGCAGCCGTTCCGGCAGCCGTCATCATGGTGATGATGGTGTGCTCCTTGACGTTGAAGGGACCGGGGTTGAGCTCGAATTTGTGTCCGAATACGGTGAATGTGTAGTTGGGCATAACGCGGGCCCAGAAGCAACCAATACTGTCCAGCGCCGGTCAGTGCTTGTTGCTTACACTTAGACTGAGAGCAGCAACTTACGGGTAGGAAACCAATTGCACGACGGTAGAGGTGATAGTGATGGGAGCACGACGAAGGGTGAGCAAGATGTTGCAGGCGGCCACGATCGTGCACATGACGGCACCAATAACCCAAGCTCGGATGGTGTCGACCGGCATTTCCTCATCTGTAGGGGGTACCTGAATTCATGTCGTGTTAGTTGACAGGCAACGAGACAGCAGAAAGTGCCATGTGAAGGGGTGCAGTTGAGAACCTACAGAAGCGCGGACTTCCGGATAAGGAGAATCCTCCTGGATGAGAGACTCGTCAATGGCCGCCTCCTTCTCGACATTGCCCGAGGCCAAGGCCTCGTCAATGTTATCGAGCTTGTCGATGTCAAGGAAGGGATCCCATCGATGCTGCTTCCTGAAGTTGCGGAGCTCAGACTCGACATTGTGAGACTCCCCGGGGAGGACGTCGACGCCAGAGGACACAGCCTCGGTCTCGACGCGAGCGTCACTCTTGCCAAACTTGAAGCCCATCTTGGGTGCTGTCCGTGTTACCACTACAGTCAAGTGTGGTGGTGGTGGTCTCTGAGCAGCAGCTGAAGGCGAGAAGAGCTGATGGGCCTTGAAGAGAATAGAGGGAGCCTCGAGCAGTGAGGGGAGGACCCGGGGTGTTTATACTAATACCACCACCACTTCTCCCGCCATGATCGCCTTTCATGGTTACAACACTATTGTGCTGTATCTTGCTGAGATGGATGCCCTGGTGGCTGCGGGGACGGTTGGTGGGTTGGCCCGATGGCCTTGGGATGCATTCTGATGCTCCCGTTTGGCCCCCTTGTCAACACACAAGCCATCTACACTTGTGACTGGTGTATCTTCCTCCTCTGGTCTTCTTTCCCGATCCGCCGTCGCCAGAGGTCGCCTTGTCCGGAGGGACCCTTTGCAATGGAGAACGCGCCTGACAAAGATGGTGGCGGACTGCCTTCTCGAACTAGGGTCTCGGCCGCTAGTCCGGCATTAGGCAAGGGATGCTCTGATTGGAAGTCTGGTCAATGGGGGCGGCAGGCCCCAAAGGCGGTTGGCTATGTTGCACGAAGTGGTATAGGTGCCAGGATAACGTGCGAATCGACTGGGAGTCCCCGGAAGATGGTGGTATTGTTGGTGAAGTCAGTAGACATTGGTCGTCCACCCACCCGCTTTTGGTCTCGATGAGCTCTAGCGCTGGGTTTAGCCGTGCATGGCGAGCGCACAAGAGGCCCATTGCCAAGGCTCGCCCTCTCCAAAAGGTCCCTCTGTTGTGAGACAAAGTGGCGATAGTCCCTCCGTTGGAAGCACAAACCCTCCGGCTCCCAGCGATAGGTTTGCGGCTTGGAACAGTGTGTGCCCACCTGCCTGATGTGGTCCTGCTCGCCCACAATGGCTCTTGGTGCCGCGCCATGCGACCAGGGGGTTGGCTGCTTGCATATCAGCGAGCTATTTCTTGTATGGTGTCCATCGCTTTACTGCTACTGGGTGGCCATTCGCCCTTCCAGCTTCTTGTCAAAAGGTCCCCCCTCAACGACAAAGGCCCTTTTGAGCGGCGCAACCGCCAGCGTTGGCTGAAGCGCCTTGACAAGTTATGCCTCGCCTTTGGCACACCTTCGTTCCTCGGCTAGTGGGAAGGTTTCTTCTTGTCTAGTGGAAAGTGGCGGGTTCTCTCCAGACTACTAGAACAACGGGTGTCAGGGCCGAACAAGCTGCATATCAAACAAGAGCAAGAGGAACAGAGAAGGGCGGAATAAGCGTACAAAGACGAAACAGCCGGAAGGAAAAGAACCCGTCCGCCGTAAGCTTGTGTAGTGATGGGTTTCCGATGATGCTCATAAATGAGACTCCGAGTGGCACCCTTACCCCAGGAAAGGCCCAATGAGCCGGGATAGGTGGTCGGCTTGTCGCCAAGCCGTAGCAGTTACGGATGCCTTATCATCAGACATCCATGAGGCAATATACCAGGGGAGCCCAGATAACTTCACCTGCAGCAAACCCTTGTTCCTGATTCGTGCAGTCACAGTTTTGAAGGGCCAAGTATATACGGGGTAGTACCTGATCTTTCCCAAGAGGAATAGGAACCATCTTCGATGCTTCGCTTGCTGGAGGACGCATTTCGTGGCTCAGTGAGGGTGAATCGGCCGTATCAACAAGCGGTAGTTGCAGTATTCGCATCGCATCACGTACTTGAACGTGTAACTCTTCAGCCGATACAGATGCAGGTACGGTGTACCGGTGAAGTCAGTCTGTGCTAACAACGCCGGCTCTGTAGGACCAACACTGATACGCAGATAGACCGTAATCTGTACCCATATCTGCGGCGAAAAATGCCAAGGGCCGATTCATCATTGCCCCATGCCTGGTCGGGCAGAACGAAAGGGCGCGTAGTGAATAGAACAGAATAGCCTAGACAATACGAAGTAGGTGGACGTAATTGGACGACTGCTTTATGAAGCAGCACCACGTACAGAATACAAGGGCGGTAAAATCGTAAAGTACCAGCGTCCAGGAACAGGAAATAGTCTTTTGCAGCTGATAGCATCGGGCGGGCGGCGTTGTTCACCCTTCCTCTTCTTCCCCTCTCTCCTCACTCGAAAGGTCCTCCCCCTCCGCATATTGGCTGTTGTCGGTTCAGCCGTTGAATCGCTTTTTCCGTTATCTTCATCTGACGACATAGTTGCGCGCACGAGTGAGAAAACCCAGATAAGATGGCCCGTTATCTTGTTTATCTCAAAGGACGAAGAAGTCATTACAAGCCTTGTCAGCCAGTGAGCATCAAGACACCCCATTCGCCTTCCGCCAATATAGGATGTATCAGCTCAGCACATACAAGTACTGGCATTATCGGATCCTCGCAAAGAGATGCCCCATCGTCACCGAGCAGCCATACTCTCCGTTCCGCCTGAGCGACGTCCAGGGCCGGAGAGTACCTGCGGCATTGCCCTCGTCTTAGCACCTTTTGCCTCTCAAATGCTCCGGCACCCATCCAGTTGCCCCCGCATGGACTGCATGGAGGGAGGGCTAGGCTAGGGCCGGGGTGGCTGAAAACTAGACAAGGGCGAGGACCCATGCAATGGCAACTGTTTTTAGATGCACTTTTGCTCGGCCAGATGGCGCTACTGCGTCTGGAGCACATGTCGAAAGAGTGCGCCGATATGTCCCCGGTTGTCGCGTGCAGTTGATCAATATAGCAGAGCTGACAGAGCATTACCAGTAATCGTACATGTTGATACGGAAGGGTCGTCTGGTAGAAGTAAGACCGCAGAGTACAGTTACTCAGTAGCGAGCCATCTCTGATGTGGTAGCTTCGTCAATCGGCTTGTGTAGAGGCTCGCCAGCAAGTGGAAGAAGAGTTTCTCAAAGCGTGAGCATCGGCAGCAACGGGAAGAGATCTTGTTCTCCCGCATCATCTGCCCTGCCCTCATCGCTTGATGCAACACATCCTGCTCTTGTAGGCATGTGCTAGGCATGCCTTCGACGTCGCAGCGAGTAATACTACACATGGTAGTATCCCGTAGTCATAACTATAAAGCGCATCAGGGCTGTCGTCAGCACAGCTACATCTGCCATCCCGGCTCGGCCAGGTGCTCCGTAAGGTGAGTCGTCGGCTGCTGGCAAGAATAACCTTAAAGCTGCGTTCCATTGACTGAAAATCGACTTCATCATGTGAGGACGATGGTCCGGAATGACTCGGTGCTCGCCGTGCCAGCACTGGGGATCTTTTGACGCCAACATCCATGAATATACAGGGAGGTACCTGAGCAGCGCAGTACGAGTATGGAGAATAGCACCCCAGTTTTGTTTGCAGCAGGAGGGCCTTTTGTGTAGCCCAGTTGATACTTCCGGGTCTCAGCTAAGAAGCTTTGTGGCGGCGGCGTTGTTTGTTTGGTATGTACCATGGGCAGTATGAGCCAGTAAGAATAGCTTGAGCTTTCCGTAGTTCGATGTTCATCTGAAGTGGTCGGAGCGTTGATTTGGCCCGATGAAAAAGATGTTGGCCAGTCCCGGACCACAAGTTCCCCAAATTGATGCGCACAAGTCGCCAAGTGATCTGGGGCGTCCATAGCAGAATATCCACCGAGACGGCGCGGCCGATACCTGCCGAATGCTTCTAGTTGATCCGAGGCATCATGAGAGCCATGCCGGCATGATCGCATCAAGGGCGCGGCCAACAAGAACATACCCCATTCGTTAAAGCGGGCTGTCCGTTGGCTGTACATCGGAGGCCATCGTGGAATCTGTGTGTGATGATGTGTTCATGGTGAAATTGCAGTATCATGGGGACTTGTATGCGCTGCTGCTGTCGTATTACAGCGGCTCTTTGAGCCGAATGGTGGAAAAGTTCCGGCCACTGTCTGGTTTCAATGACAGGTGGGAAGCTGTAGAGTTGTAAATGGCGGGATTGATGCCTCGCGGGGATTGCCATGGCAAGGCGCTCTGTGGGAGCTATCGTTACTCCTGAGTACCAAGCTTTCATCGCCGGCCTCTCAGCGCTGTGGCCGTATCGCTGGGGGTCGATTGCCTGCTCGTACTTGTATAATCTGTAACAATACAGATATCCGTATGAAGCAGGAAGTACAAGTACTGAAATTTGAGCCAAGAGATCGAACGAGGATCCGTCGCCACCCTCATGCGAAGCAGACGAGTGGCCTCGATAGGTACTGGAACAAGAATTTGTCCTATCCTCTGCCTTCGGGCCTGTGAAGCAGGGACCGGCAGAAACAGCCACGAGTCTCTCCGCACAGCTGCATATCCGTACACCGGAGCAAACCAAGCCAGATAATCGTGGCCGGGGTTTGTAACCCAAAACGACGTTGGTGTGACGGGGCATCCGCCATTCATCACCCAGCTTGCTCGCAAAACGATCGAGGCGGCATGAACCAATGGAGGCTTCAGTGGCATGAGCTTCCCAGAGGTAGGTGAACAAGCTGATGGCCCAAGTGGACGGACTTTTGTTGATGCCAAGATTGGTATCTGGCGCAATAGGCAATATGTAAGTCGGCCAACCTTGATTGGACTTTCGCCACATACTATTCGGCCAGCCCGGCTGCTTGCTGTGGCACAACCGTAGGAAGTACATGAGAGTCCAAGAGCCGCAAGTGAGTGCGAGCTGATGAATGGTTGTTTCGTCTAGCTTCAAGATCTGCAATCGTCGGTTTTTTCATCGGGGTGAGCGATGCTCATCTCGATCCCCTCCTGGCTCTCGTTGCTTGTGGTATTGATCTCTGCGTCAGGATCCCCGCCTCGTACCTTGAGCGATCTCTGGCGATTATGAATTATCAGTGCGGATTTTCAAGGCAATTTGCAGCGGCGACGTCAGCCGCAGATAGGCTTCAAGGGCAAATGCTTGTTCAGCCCTGCAATCCTTCACATCACTCGAGGATCTCACGCGCTCGCGACGAACGATGACACCCTTTCGACACCACTTCAGGGATAGCCGATGCTGCTGACATGTTGATATTGATTGCTGAAGGCTGCAACCAACGACTCAGCCCATGCTAATCGTAACGAGGGTGAGAACCAGCTCTCTGGGCCGGACTTATGTTGCCACAAACCCCATGCCTCTCCATGGCCTGGAGTTCAGGCGTGCTTTTATCGCCACGTGCGAGTCGCAGCTCGAAGAAGGCCCAATGAGCTGCCCATATCTTCCTTCAAGTGGCGGCACCTTTCTCTTTCTTCATTTTTTTTTCCAATGTCGATCTTGCAACGCGGTATCTTCTTACCGTAAGAAGCCTTGCTCCTCAGGTAGAATCCGGGGGGAAGCCAAAGTCGACGGCAATCAATCAAACGTATCATACAGGCTGCTTCCTTGTACTGTACACAGAAGTGGCGTGGAGCGACAATAAACTTGTTCAAGCTCGGTTGCAACATGTCGTAGCCAAGCTTCGACTTTGCCGCATCAGACGTCTCTTTACTTTTCGAGGCCAGCTTCTCGGCGCATTTGTTCTCTCCGGGCCGCTGCCTCCAGTTGTTGTAGCCTTCCGGCTTCCAGGTCTGCTCTCTTCTTCCTTTCTTCTTCTTCTTTCATGACGGCCCAAACTGGTTCAAAGCGTTAGTCTCCTCCTTCATGAACAAAGATCAAGAATCATCTGGGGCAGATTTGATAGACAAACTTGGTTTATCGGATTTGGAGTATTCCTTGAGCCGCGTAACGAACTGGTCAAACTCTTGCTGTCTCTCTTCTCTGCCCTCCAAGCTCCTCTTGAGCAGCTCAGGATTGTACCTGGACCTGAGCTCTTCCTCGGTTGGTACCAGCCAGTAAGTCAGTGCTGGCCCACCAACGCTGATGAGAGAGCCTCTATGGTGAAGAGATAGGGTTAGCATCAATGCCTTGTGCCAGTCATCGAGTTCTTGGAGAGTCGAGTCGAATCAAAGTGCTACTCACCCCACCAGGACCTTAATCCACAGTCCCCAGTTGATGGATTTCTTGGGAGGCATTTTGCGTTTTGGTGATTGAGATGACTTGGATGAGTAAGGTGAGCCGACGGGAAGAGAAAATGTGCGAGTTACGAGCTTCTTTTTCGATCTCGTTACGACAGCTTTATGCCTGAGGAGAGAAGCTCTTGCGTGAGTAGTTCGGTAGCCAAAGAGCAGGCGTCATGGAATTTTGGTTCGGCGTGCTAGAGCTCCCAAAGTCGGTAGGCGGTGAAGGTGAGTCTGATTATGTAATCACAACTAGGCCGGCATAATAAAGCAGAAAAAGAGACGTTCAGAAGTGAAAAATCACAGGAGAAATCCCATGGGAAATGTCCCTGAAAGACGGTTACATCGTAGGGAGTTTTGTAAATTGTTGGGAAATTTTATTCTAGATATATGGCAGGACTGAAAGGACGTAGAAATGGCCCGTATGACTGCTCTCTGTTGCCTGAGGCATGGACATTAAGCTCGCGAGAAACAAACAAAAGGAAAGAGCCAAAAGCATGTGACTGACATGGAAGGCTGCTTGGGATTGTACCTTAGGTTCAATGACGTTGCTGCAACGGAACAAGCCAAAAGGATTCTGATTGAAAGAATGATGCAATCCTGTCTTCAGAATGGCTCTGGTTTTGAATATGTGGCTGAGCGTCGCTTGTGGTAGGCTTTTTGCTGCACAACTTTGATATCATACCCTACAATGTGCGGGTGAGAAAATCCATGATTGCACATTGAGGCTCCAATGTTTCCTGAATTGGTACCTATGCTTACTGATATATCATACTAAAAGGGGGAATTTTAATAAAAAAATAAAATGAAAAAAAATGAAATAGAGTGAAGCCGTCTCATTGCTCTCCGATCACGATACATAAATATGCTGCATATACGGAGTATCGATTGAGCATTCGCATGGATGACATGATGGTATGTAGGAACGTGATAAACTGTATCCAAATGCCGAGGAGCAACACATGAGCGCCAACTGCACCAACCCCGAGAAAGTCGGGTCACTTCATCGAGTCAAAGGCAAAAAAAGAAAGCTGCGATCTGTGTGGCTTGAACACACGACCTTCAGATAAATAATTGGAGATTGAAGTTTGGAGGTACTTCAGTCTGACGCTCTCCCAGCTGAGCTAAGACCGCGGACAATGTGGATCACCAAGGACCAAATCGCTCCATATTGTGGCGCTGAGGGAACTGAGGCTGCATCATGCGGCTCCGTGATTCAATCATTGATTCCATTGTGGTTGCTTCCTGAATGATGGAAGGATAGAGATACTAATGGATACGGCAGAATAAAGGTGAAACTCGGGGATGATGTACCGAGTTTCAATAAGGTGCCACGGAGGAGGCTTGTGGGGCCCGCATGAATGTGACATGAAGTGTGGGATTTCTTTTTCTCTTCCTCCAGTAGGCTACCTTGATGAGAAGCTCATGGCTCGGGTGCTCTAATTGTCAAGGTTGGTGATGGCGTTTCTACAGGAAGGGATACATCGTGGTGGCTATAAATGGAACTGGTCGACTGGCCCCAACACTCCGAAGTTATGTTGTCTTACAGCAGATCTTGGTGCGGTGTTACAGACTGTTGGGCTCAGCCAAACTTGGGAATTGCAGGGGCCAGAGCTTCAAAAGGCGTGATTCCCCTCTCTTTATGCCCGAATGATCCATCTAACGCGCTGTCATCCGGGGATTAGGTTGGAAAAGAGAACGTAAAGTCCAACGAATCTCGACCGTTTTCCAGGGACTTGAAGGATGGGGGATCGGCATCGTGCATACGGGACAGAAAACGCCTCTCTGGGGAGAAGTTTTGGCATATCACTACTCATTCGGGCGATTATTCTTAGTACAGTGGGTCTCAAAAAGTTTCGAGCCGCGCACAGTATCCCAGCAAAATGCTACTTATTCAATTACAGCCATAGCGCCCCTACTATATCAAGGTATATAACAAAAATAAAAATAGAATAGTTTAATAGCGTCTAATTTATATAGTATGTTTTTTTTATATATATCTCTTAGCTATAGTTAAGTATTACTGCTAAAAGAGTATATAAAGTTATAGATTTTAATTCGCACTGGTTATAGGGGCCTTATAGTAGGGTTATATTGCATAATACAGTATGTGACTTAGTATAAGACTTACAACCTTACTTTAAACATATATTATAAATCTAAAAGAATATATATATAAATTAAAATACTATAATTAAAGTCTTTAACTACTATAATCTTTATATTAAAGAGATTTTCCTATTATATTATATATAAGACGAGATATATAGAAGTTATATACTTAGATTTTTATATGTGATAAGCAGCGCACTGTGGAGGCGGCTCGAAATTACTTGATCCCCACTGTACCAACGACTAAGCAGGAAGCAACGCGCAAGGGCCAAGAGACCATTGATGCTGCTGTGAAGTCGCAGCGAGGAGACGATGGGGAAGTGGCCCAGCCTTCTGGCATCCACCGTTGGCGGCCAGGATGCGAGACACGACAAACACCAGTCACGAGCCTGAGAGGGCCTTGATTCGACGCCACGGGCATGGCACAAGGGCACTGAGAGGCCTCACCTCAGCCACCAGATGAAATCGATTGGGCTGCGACCCCGGTCAGCGGCGGGCTGTCATGCGGATGGCCCTCTCGAGGGACAAATGATACATTAAGCCCGTGATGTTTGCAACAGTACTCCGTAGTAGAGATAGTAATCGTAGTATGTAGATTCTGATGAATGAAGAGAAAAAGGTGACGAGAGGGCCATAGATATTACGAATATAGTCCGGGTTGCACCATCGCCTGTGGTCTGGTTGCTGCTATATTACCCACCTAGTCCTCATACGACAAGATTACTGCAGGGACCAGGCAATTAACAAGCCACCAAGCAGTAGTCAAACACACCTCCGTCGTGTGCTGTGGCCGGGATTATTTTGCCGGTGTGACGCCCAACTCCGCTCGGGGTCCTTGCCCGTCTCAAACCACTGCAACGCGGTGTTTCTCCAACGCTTGTCCCATCGGGTCGGGGGTTTCCAACGGCTGACGGGCGGGAGAGCAAAAGCAACAACAAAGCGTTGACGCTCCTTTTCCCCTACTATACTCTACCTGACCTATCAAGAGTCGCTCCCTTTTCTTCTTGTTCGACGATCGACACTCAGGGCAGGGCTGCCGGAGGTGGTGCAAGCGAAGCAGCAGCAAGCAAGCAAGCAGGGATCTCTGAGTTTCGGCTGTCGATTTGCGAATTCTGCTGGTTTCTTTGCCGATTCCCGATTTCTGTCGCTCCTTGAAAGAAGCGGCCAGAGCCATTCATTCCTTGACCAGCTGGCCGCTAATCAATGGTTTGTTGTCATCGGTGTTGACCTTATTGTTGAGATCCAACCACACTCGCACACGCAAAGACAAGACAAGAGACACTTCGCCCGGTTCGAGACACGACTCCAAACCCACGAACTGAACACACGCGCCTCTCCGAACCCTCGAGGCGAGACACGATCGATCAAGTCCTCGCTCGGAAACGCAGCTTGGCGTGACCATCATATACAACACGTACACGCACGCCACAAAGGCAGAAGCAGCAGACAACAAAAGCACACAGGAGAAGCAGTACAAGCAGCGGCATCTACGCGGGCTTCAAGCGGGTGCCCTGTGCGACACCTGTTGATTCACCCGGCGGCGCCAAAAAAAAGTCTGCCAGCCGGTGAGCGGCGCTGGGGGGTTGTCAATCTCGGCTTGGTATGGGCCTTCTGAGACATTCTGGCCGCTCTCATCTTCTTTGCCCTTGACCTCCTATTTCTCTTCTCTTCTGCTCTTCCAGCTGTGCTGCGGAAGACAAAGAACGATTAGCGACTCTCTCGGACCTTGTCTTGCTCCAGCCCGACATCAAACCACTCGCCTTTCCTTGCTGTGTTCTCTTTCGATTTTCTTCCTTTCCCTCTGATTTGGTATGGGCATTTGCATGCCAGAAGCCTTTTGTATCTGCCAGCTATAGCATCAAACGTGTTTCCCGCTCTAGAGTCGCAAAATCCAGCAATATTCTTCGTTACGGACGCCGAAAACGAGAAAAGGGAAAAAAGAATTAGAACAAGTAATCCTAATGGCATACGAGGGTGGATACAACGGGGCCCAACAGCGGCCGTACGCTGGTCCGGCGGCACATGCCCCCATGCCCAGAGGCTACGGAGGGCCGAACGAGTACCCTCAGGACGATGGCTATGGCGGAGGAGGATACGGACCAGAGTATGGAATCGGCCAGCACCCAGACGCCGGCTATGGCCAGGGTCGGCCCGGCCCGGCGAGAGGCGGCCGCCCTCCGCAAGAGGGAGGCCGAGGAGGCCCTCATAGGATGCCACCAGAGGGGCAGCGAGGGGCCAACTATCCCCCGAGAGGCGGCATGGGTCCTGGGAATAGGGGCAGGCCGAACATGCCTCGTGGAGGAGGCCCAGGTCCAGGTCCAGGTAAGCCTTTCCCAATCCTGCCATTACACTCGAGCCCGGATTTCCGTAATGCCCGGTCTCCATCAACAGCCCAGTTCCGCAACAACACCCAGCTTCATCACCAACGCACTCGAGAGAAACAGGCTCTAACTTGCGATCGTCATCTCCCTTCTAGGTGGCCGGCAACCGATGAACAACCCTCGCATGAACGCCCCCGGCCCGGGATATGCCGACGGCAACTACCAGCTCGCAGACCAGATGTCGCAGATGGACCTCAACGGACAGGGACACCGACAGCCTCCGACTCGAAACGGCTCCCAGAACGTCGCAGACCCAAGACGCGGACAGCCCAGGCAGGCACCTGGCGGCTACGGAGACTACGGAGACCACGCAGACGGCGGATACGGAGCCCGGCCGCCACCGAACCAATACGGAGCCCAGCGAAGTATGACGATGCCAAACAGCGTTCCTGCTGGGCGAGGAATGCCGCAGAGACCGGCCACGACGACGGGGAACCGGCCCCCACCGCAGAGGACATACCCTCAGGACGCTCAGGGGCCACCGCAGCGTCAGTATAGCAATGCCGGGGGCCAAGGCCCGGTTCCTAATGGCTACGGTTCGAATGGCTACGGTCCTGGCCCCGGCCAGCAGGGCGACAATGGATACGGCGCCCCCTCGTATAACAAGGCGGTCGACGACCTGTACGACTCTTACTACGACGAGCCGAGTACCAACGCGACGCATCTCAACCCGCAACAAGACTCACGTATGCTGCAGACGCATGCTCGCCAGGAAAGCCGCTCCAGCATGCCCGACTTTGACGCCATCCCCGCGGACAGCAAACGAGACTCGTTTGAGCAGTCGATGCGGCCGGGCAACGAGCAGCCGCAGCAGGGGGCTCACCAGATGCCCAAGCTGGGCCACGCTCGATCCATGGTAGAGCTGCGCGAGCCGCAGTCTGCCGTCTTCGAGATGACGAGCGACATTCCCGAAGTGCCGGCAATTCCGCAAACGCACGCGTATCAGCAGCAGCAACCGCAAGGATACGGACAAACTGGCTATGGTCAAGGACACAATGATCAAGGTTATGGACAGAATGGCTACGGTCAAGGACACAATGACCAAGGTTACGGACACAATGATCATGGATACGGACAAAACGGATATGACCAAGGATACAACGGACCTGGAGGATACTCTCAGCCGCCGATCCCTCCAGGCCCGAGTGCGCCTCCAGGCCCGGCTGGGCAGCATCCCGGTTTCGCCAACGGCCGCCCGCCCATTGTCCGGCCGGGCACAGCCGCTCCCGCGAACCCGGACAGTCTACCTGCGCATCCGACGCCGGTGCGGCCTGGCTTGATGGAAAACTCGCCGGTGAATCCGAATGCCAAGCCGCCTCCGGTCCGGAACTACGGAGGCGGTCCCCAAGTGGGACAGCAGCCTGTTCAACAGTATCAGCAACAACAAGCACCCATGCAGCAACAGCAACCGCCGCAGCAGGCGCGACATTCAGGACAATCGCAACATTCAGACCAGCAGCCGTATCCTCAACAGGCTCCGCCTCCGGTACGGCCAAAGGAAAAGGAGCCCCCAGTCACTCCCGCCGAGCTGGAGCACCTGAGGATGGTCATCAAGGGCAACCCCAACGACCAGGCGTCTGCGCTCAAGCTGGCGAAGCGGCTCATCGAGGCCTCTGACGTGCTCGTTCCCAACATCCC